CTTCTGCAAAAGCTTTAATATACCCCAATAACATTAAAAAAAGAAGCATTTAATTTTTGAATATAAATTTTTTTTGTCAGATAGTTTACATCAATCAAAACATAGTTTGTCCATTTAGTCTCTATGGTAAATATTCATTTCACAATAATTTCTGTTCATAGTGTAGAAATGTTTTATTATCCAAACAGTCATTGACTGTTCAGGTGAAAGGGTAGTATTTACTTTCATGAAATAGGTTGCTCTTTTATGTACCCTATTTAAGTCAATGTCACACTTGTGATTGGACAAAAAAATACAGTTTCTAATGATAAAACTTTCCTAAGCTGAGGGATGAATGAGGTGAAGAAACATATAAAATAATTTTACAAACAGGTGAAATTTTTGAGAATTTAATTTAAAGTTTTGTATTTACTGCATGATAAAAGGCACTTGTGGCCTTAGGTTTATAAAGATGGCAGAAAAAGTAAACAGTCATCGCACATATACTGTGGATTCATTATTATTCGTTGGATACCAATTTTCGTGGATTTCGTGGTTATAGGTGAACCACAAAATTAAATGTTCAACGAAAGGCAAATTTACTATAGGCTTGTATGCAGACATTGTCAAAAACCACAAAATTAAATATCCACGAACATGTAAGTTTTCCTTAATCCACGAAAATTGGTACCCACGAAAATAAATGATTCCACAGCTAGTATTCAAATTTATTTATGAATGTTATGATGAATGTATGTCTGTTTAACTGTGTATGTAGGTTCTGGGCTAGTGTTGAAAAGTGTTGAAAATTCTGGAAAGGCAATCACTATCCCTATGGTCCAGGAAATACTACTGCTTATCACTGACATCATTCTTTGAAATAAAAAAGATAAACACTTAACAAAGATAAGATATATTTAAATTATCTTGCATAGAATTGTGAACATAAATGTTAAACACTTAACACAGATAAAAAATATTGAAATTATCTTGCATAGAATTGTAAACATCCAGATAATTTTATTAACACTATTGTCTGTCTGTAAGATGTCTGATTTTGATAGACCTGTCTAACATGTGTCTATGATGATTTATTTTAAATTTTTGTTAAATGCTTGTTTGTCTTAACAGAAAATAGCATTTTTGTTTCGCTTTTTTGTCGCAGTATGTGAGACAGGTATTACAATCCGGCAGGGGCGCAATGGCGATGCTTCATACTTCTGAGCAGATACCTTATGTTAGAAAGATCCGTCTGTCATGTGTTCATTGTCCTCGACCTCATAGCCATGGTTTAGCGACTGCTTGAAAAAAAAATCGCTATTTTTATACCCGTCTGTCCATCCTTCCATCCGTCTTTCGTCAACATGTTGGACAAAAACTCAAAAAGGCTTTAACCAATTTGCATGATACTTTGGTGAATTGTTTATATCTATTGATAAGAGCTCCTTTCGATTTTTATAAATTTTCGATTTTATGTTTCTGGGATATGGGGTCTTATTCATTAAAAAAAGGGGTTTTTCCAGTTTTCAGACAATAACTCAAAAATGCTAAAGCAGTTTTAATAAAACTTTAGTGAATTCTTTATATCTATTGATGTGAGCTCCCTTTTAATTTTTATAAATGTTAGATTTTACGTTTCCGAGTTATTGGGTTTTGTTCAATAAAAAAGGGGGATTTTCCAGTTTTCAGACAATAATTCAAAAGTTCTTTGAGCAGTTCTCATGAAACTTTGGTGACTGGTTTATATCTATTAAAATAACCTACCTTTAGTTTGTTATAATTTCTGATATTGCATTGAAGACTTTATTCTTGTTAAAGTGACAGGGGTATCATGCGCTCACGGCGCTTCTCTTTATTTTGTTAAGTGAAATACTCATTTAAATCAGTGATGGGATAACTATAGTTGGTACATGGGTTCCTTGCAGCGTCTACAAATCCATCAGGTAGATAACAGTCAACCTCATTCCATGGATCAGTGATCAAGGCTAAATTGACTTGCTCAAGTCTGTATCTCAGATACTATAATTAGCAATAGGGCCACTTATGATATTTGGCATATGGAATAATTGTTAAGTGTGCATGTCCATCTGGCAGGTTTTATATGACCTTGTCCTCAATTTCATGGTTCTTTGGTCAATGATAAATTTTCGTTATTTTGTCAGTTTATCAGATACAACATGTATAAGCAATAGGTCAACTATATTTAAGTGTATGGAATGATTGTAAGGTGTACATTACAGTCTGGCAGGGTTCATATGACGTTGACCTCATTTGTAAGGTTCATTGGTTAATGTTAAGATTCTGTGGTTTAATCTGTTTCGCAGGTACTATTATCTAGATCTAGAGCTCACCGGAACTATTATCTAGAGGACCACTCTATTCGGTGGATTGAATTATTGTAAGGTGTACATGTCTGTCTGGTATGGTTCATCTGACTCTGACCTCATTTTTTGTAGAGCATTGATAAAGTTAAGTTTATGTAATACTTGTAATAAAACCTTCATATTACAGACTTTCATATCTGCCAACCGTCACTATTTGGGGGGAATTTCCCCCATGTAGACTCCCAAATGGAAATTTTGAAAGAGCAACTTTGACCATAATTTAAAACAAAACAGTCAATTTTACCATGGGTGTAGGATTGTAAAAGTATGAAGTAGCAAATAAACAACATTTAAATAAATTTGGAGGCCCCTTTAAAGGTTTTGTAGGACTATGACAACCATCTTGCACATAAAACTCCCATGGGCATTTTGAAATGTTGGCAGGTATGGACTTTCAACATGAATTCAATGATAAGTAAAACAGGCGACAGATTTCAACATGTGCTCCTTGTTTAGTTTTATTATCCTTTGAATATTCCATTTTACAAAAGCAGTAAGTAAATGAAGTCAAAATATGACAGAATGTTTTTTTAACATAAAAAGTCAATTTGATCATTTTAAGGCCAGATTTGTCTACCTGATAAAGATGCATGTTAACCATTTGATGATGTTAGTGATTATCCTCAAATTTTGAATGCTTACCATTAGCAATGTTGTGAAATTGCTGAATTTGGATGCATTATTATCTGCCCTTGCTACTGTATTGTATGCCTTTAAGAATGTGGAATAAAAAAGGAAAAATTGAAAATTCAGGGCAAACAATGTTAGGTTAGTACAAGCATAGAAGTATAAAACAATTATACATCTATGGTACAAATTATTAAAGTACTTATATATAAATGGTTTTAAAATTTAAAATGTAGTTATTCATTAGTGATATTCATGGTAATTAATGTAATAACTGCAATATTTAGTTACAAATAATCAGACAGCTTTCACAATTGTGATGTAAGAAGGCAGAATATAATCTCTGTGAAATTTTATGTAGAGTTATTTCCCCTTATAGTTTTAATTTCCAAATTTCTTTATTGTTCTTATATCTCTATCTCAAATCATTAATAAAGCATAAATTGAAATTGAATATGTTTTTAAAAGATATGGGGAAAAAACAGCTCGAAAAATATCAAGTTTTTATGAAACTTTTGCTATATTTATATTAGTTAAGGACCTATATATACTTGTGCAATTATAAAGTGATATGTATATATAAGACTGCCTCCTTTACCCGCAATCTTTGATAAGGGTTTACTGTTGGATGGATCAACGACTTACTACTTTTGATGACAGAAACCAATCCAACGCATAATCCGTGTAGGGCAAAATTCCCGCGTCAACATACACTCCAAAACCCATTATGGATGGGGGATGGGGGAGTGGTATGCCGAGTGACGTCGAGGGCTGTATCCTAGGTGTTAGATGATGGACCACCATTTCACTGAGGTTAGCGGGCTGCCAAGCTGACCAATCTGGCCCTGAAAGCAGCCTTTGTGAAGACATAACATCAAAATAGTCAACAAAAGAAAAACCAAAACAACTCACAAAACCAAGATGGCGGCCTACCAAAATGGCGTCCTCCACCTGTTCCTGACCGATGGCACAAAATTATTTAAACGCTCACCAAACGCCTTCGGGCACCGAGCCGACTGTGCGAGGGATGTATATCCAGTCAAGGTCGTAAAACACTTCCAGTAATGCTGCAGACTCACTAGCCATAGTGTTATTACAATGATCAGTCTTAAAGTACCCCCTATGGGGGAATTGTCTTTACATGTAATATGTATGTGCATTATATATATATAAAAATAATACTCTATTTATCATGTGTTTATCTACCTCATCAAATGCACTATGGGTTAAATTGTCTGTGTTTTGCAATTTTAAAATATGATGGAATCATCAACACTAAGATAAAAGTTTGTATTTATTGTCCATTACAGCTATACATTTTTATTAGAAGTAAATAAGTTTAAAATTTGAGCAAATATTTTATTTAATCTTTTCTTACTGTTGAATATATATATATACTTTATATATATAATTACATTTCATGTATGTTCTTCAGAATCCATGCTATTGCTTGGCTCACAACAATCTTAAGTCATTCCAAAATTATATTTTATTTCCCAATGAAATGCAACATTCATGACTGCACATGCTAACCGTTACAATGCCACAACCATGCATAGGAAAACAAACAAAAAGCTTGATATAACCTGGTGATTACGGAACCACCATTTTTAATATTTGAATTGGTATACTGATATTTTCGATAAAATTTTCTCAGCTTAGTTTTCCTTTATTTAGCATATGGATGGCCCATATTACATATACTAACTACTTCCAACATAATTTACACCAGAATCTTTTGCCATACACTTATGATATTTGGCATGGTGGTAAAAATACTATAACATTGTGCTGCATAACTATTATGACTAACATGTAAACAAACCATTTGTTATAAACCGTGTGGTTCATTTTCACTTCTAGCATGTCAAAAAAAACATGCTCATCATGTCCAGCTTTTACAAAGCCTGGTTCATGAATATAATCACATTAATATGTTCTCATCCTGAATATGCTTTTAATTTGCCACCAAACTACCATACATGTATATGTTTTATTGTTTTATTTCAGTCCAAAGTGCAGGACAGAATTCTCACAGATTGAGTGTCCAACCAGATACTCATGTTTTTGTGAAAAGGTTATAGAACCAAAGTTTGATCCATGGCTAGTACCACATTCTTGTGGCCAGACTTGTGGCAAAAATTTAAAACCAGAGTGTGGCCACACATGCTTACTTCTTTGTCATCCAGGTAATAAAAATGTTTAGAGATTATAAAAATGTTTTATCTGTCTTCCCTTTGCCTACACCACTTTGCTCATCTCTAAGTAAAATCCCATACCACATCTTTGTAACATCAAAAATATGTGAGCTTAAGCCTCAATGCCTTTAACCAAGTCTCATATTTTTCTTCATAATGTTTTTGCCAATGTTTTTGTCGAGCCTGCGACTTTTGTCGCAGAAAGCTCGACATAGGGATAGTGATCCGGCGGCGGCGGCGGCGGCGTTAGCTAACTTCTTAAAAGCTTTATATTTTAGAAGGTGGAAGGTCTGGATGCTTCATACTTTGTATATGGATGCCTCATGTTACGAAGTTTCCGTCAGTCACATGTCCAATGTCCTTGACCTCATTTTCATGGTTCAGTGACTACTTGAAAAAAAAGTTAAGATTTTTTGTAATGTTAGATTCTCTCTTATTATAAGTAATAGGATAACTATATTTGGTATGTGCGTACCTTGCAAGGTCCTCATGCCCGTCAGACAGTTTTCACTTGACCTCGACCTCATTTCATGGATCAGTGAACAAGGTTAAGTTTTGGTGGTCAAGTCCATATCTCAGATACTATAAGCAATAGGTCTAGTATATTCGGTGTATGGAAGGACTGTAAGGTGTACATGTCCAACTGGCAGGTGTCATCTGACCTTGACCTCATTTTCATGGTTCAGTGGTTATAGTTAAGTTTTTGTGTTTTGGTCTGTTTTTCTTATACTGTATGCCATAGGTCTACTATATTTGGTGTATGGAATGATTGTAAGGTGTACATGTCTAGCAGGCAGGTGTCATTTGACCTTGACCTCATTTTCATGGTTCAGTGGTCAAAGTTAAGTTTTTGAGTTTTGGTCTTTTTTTCTAATACTATGTGCAATAGTTCAACTTTATTTGGTATGTGCGCACCTTGCAAGGTCCTCATGCCCGTCAGACAGTTTTCACTTGACCTCGACCTCATTTCTTGGATCAATGAACAAGGTTAAGTTTTGGTGGTCAAGTCCATATCTCAGATACTATAAGCAATAGGTCTGGTATATTCGGTGTATGGAAGGACTGTAAGGTGTACATGTCCAACTGGCAGGTGTCATCTGACCTTGACCTCATTTTCATGGTTCAGTGGTTATAGTTAAGTTTTTGTGTTTTGGTCTGTTTTTCTTATACTGTATGCAATAGTTCAACTATATTTGGTGTATGGAAATATTTTATGATCTATTTGGCAGTCACGCAGGTTTTATTTGACCTTGACCTCATTTTCAAGGTTCATTGCTCAGTGTTAAGTTTTTATGTTTTGGTCTGTTTTTCTTAAACTATAAGCAATAGGTCAACTCTATTTGTTGTATGGAAGAATTGTTAGCTGTACATGCCTGCCTAGGCCTAGCATGGTTCATCTGACCTTGACCTCATTTTCATGGTTCATTGGTCAATGTTTAGTTTACTTGGTTAATGTTAAGTTTATGTGACAGTTGTAATAAAGCTTTATATTTAGGACTATCAACATAATATCAATGATTAGTAAAGAAGGCGAGACATTTCAGCGTGTGCACTCTTGTTTATATAAAATTGTGAATGGAAACGGGAAATGGGTATCTGCATTTTTTTTTTGATGGGGGGGGGGGGGGTTACAATACATGGAACTTGAAGAAAATATCAAAGGGACAATCAAAGACCATATGCCGAAAAAAACAAACAATATCATAACCAAAACAAAATAGAGAGAGAAAAAGAAAGAGGCAGACAACAGTCCACAAACTACAACTCAGAAAACTAAATATTGAGCAACATAAAAAAATTAAGGATGAAAATTTCTGCTCCTGCGTACTGATACCCACCATGTTACTTATATTTAAAAATGTTGATAAGTCAGTCATAAGCATCTCATATCAGTGGGTTGGTAAATGTCTCTTGTATAACTTTAAGAGACCACTAAATTAATAACCCATGGGTACACAAGATTCTCTTACCCTAGAAATTAACCAAAACTGAAAGTTTGAAGGAATGAAGGATTTTGAAGATGGACAAGACCTGTAGAGAAAACACAGCCAAGAAATATAAAATAACCCCAAAAAAACCATGCATGTTGATAGGCAAGTTTGCGACTTTTAAGTTTTGTTTTTGTAATACTTCAATTATGAACATGAGGTGTCTATCTACATAATGAAACTTAAAAAAAAACTCATCTACCAAATACTGGTACATGTATTTGTTCCAGTTCAGCAGTTGTCTATCAAAATATTCTTTCACCAAATAAATGAATGCAACTTGATTATAACATTAAACAAACTTACTGTCTGAAAATGAAGAAGAAAATAAAATGATATACAATTTCATTATATATTTAGGTCCATGCCCACCCTGTCCAAAGACAGTTCGTGTGACGTGTTATTGTCAGAAACAGTCTCCTCAGATCAAACGATGTAGCGCCAGGACTTGGTCGTGTGGTCAGCCATGTGGTTATCAGCTTACCTGTGGTCAACATAGATGTCAGGACCCTTGTCATGCAGGTAAGATTGATAGCAAAGAAGATGTTGTATGGTCAGACTAGGTCACTCACTGACCCTGCAAGGACTTAACAGCCAACCAATAAATACACCATATCGCTATTTGTCCCCCATTACTGGACATCACAAAGGTTCCCGTAAAATATTGGCATCATAATACAAAATAGCTGATGCCACAATAAAAAAGTTATTGTTGTTTGACGTTAATAGTTCAAGCGGGACAGATTCTTGGGTCAACCGGCGCAGATTTCCAAACAGCAATAAGGTTTATCTCCCATAGTAGTAGGTCACCTACAGTATTTTTAGAACACAGATCATGTGACTTTTGGAACCTCCTCTTCCAGGCATTAGCTGTCTTCACGTTTATTTACAATTGCATTTTGTTATTGCTGGGGTCTCTTTCGGAGAGTGTTTCATGTGTTAGTTTTACCCAACATGATTGACGTCATATTCGGTGACGTAATCTAGTCCTTTACAGAATTTCCAAGCAAGCAAGATGTTTAAATTTGGTTAGCGGTAAAATCGAAAATATATTGTGGGATTTTGTGGGTTTAGATTTAGTGAGCTACAAATTTAAACGATCAAGCTTTTACAAAGACTGGCAAAACCATGAAATTGAATATTCATGAAGTAAATCTTTTCCTATAAAGTTTTAGTACTCTCAAAAATAAATGAATCCAAACTATTCAGGAATGTGTGATGTCGCGGAAATTTAACTAGATATCAGGATATCTCCATCCACTTTAAGCCTACATATTAGGTGTGCTATTTCCAGCCATATCAAGGTATCTAGAAAGATTTCATCATCAATATAATGTAAAGAGAACATTAAAAAAGATTGAATGTAGAATTTGGGAGAAAGAAATATGAGTAAAAAGAGACTTTGGTAAAAGTCAATTAGACAGCTACTCGACAACACAAAATGTATAATTAAAGGTTTGTGTAGCACCTTCAGTGATGGCCAGTTTAGTGTGCATATAGTATTTTGATTTTTTGTGATGTATTTTGGCATTTTAAGTGCCTGTCTGTCTAAGGATCACTATTAGACACTACTGCAAGTGAATTTCTAAATATTGAGTAAACGTTTTATTTTAATCATGTTAATGGATGAGATGAATATTCCAAATATAGAATGTTATGGAAAATTTAGGAAATGGCTGTTTCTTAGACAGACTGGTACTTAATATATAACAGGGGCAGAATAAATAAAAAGAATGGCTATGTCCAAAATACCCCAATTTTTCTATATCTTTGCAATGGATGGCTATAAGTAGTTTGTTTTTTATACTACATATATATTTGTATCATTTTTTCAGGGGGCTGTCCACCCTGTACAAAGACAAGTAAACAGAAATGTATGTGTTCAAAATCAATGGCTGTGAGAGAATGTGCCACTCCCCGGTGGCAATGTGATGAGGTAATGATATATTTGTTATTTGCATCGCCACAAGGCAATGAAATAATGGCAATGTTTTTGGCTACATATCATGCATACTAATGCAAGATTTTTTAGAGAGCTTAGCAGATTGATGATCCATGGAATTAAAATGAAATGTATGAATATGAAATTTGTTATAACACCACATAGTACATGTGTTGAGGTTAATTCCTAGTAATATGATACAAGAGAGTCAATATTTTTGAAACTATCAAATTTTACTTATTAAGAGGTTTAGATTTGACAAAAATATTTTGTCAATTGTTTTATGACCAAAACTTTGATAAAAAATTCAAAAACTATTTAGAGAAACTTATGAATATGCATTTTGTGAACATAATTTTTCATTCTATAAGTTACTTTTATATATTTGTGCAAACAATAACTTAATATTTTACAGCCCTGTGGAAAGAGACTTGCATGTGGTAACCATGTTTGTGAAAAAGTTTGTCATGGTGGAAATTGTGGACCTTGTCCAAGATCTGGACTGAGAAAATGTCCTTGTGGGAAAACAGGTAAGTCTAGACCTTGAAAGTTATGCTGTAAAATATGGACCTTATCTAACATTTACATGAGCAAACACTGTGAAATTGTGCAGGAAAATGTTGACCTTGTCCCATATATATTTGGGCTCACTAAATTCCCATGTTGAAAACCTAAAAATTAATTAACGTCAGAGAAATATTGTTACTAATCTGCAACATAAGCAGATTCTATACATATATACAAAAACTGAACTTGCAAAAGTAAAATAATTAGCTGTTCAACAAACATTTCTTTCGTTGAAACCCACAAAATGGGAAATAATTGAATTGGGTTGTAAATAGGAATGAAACAAAGATAATAGTTTTTATTTAAGATTTTCTGTAGAAACATCAATTTTTGTTATTTTAATATTTTCTTTTTGGGATTATTTTTTTGGTCCAAGTTTGAGAATGTTTTTTTTAATTTGATTACTCTTTTTGTTTGGTGTTAAATTGTTGGAAAATATCTACCCTGTAGATAGAATCTTAACAATCTTATTTCTTTGACAGTATTTTTTAGTTTTGGCATAACTATATTTACAGAGGATTCACTGCCTTGCACTGAGGACATTCCAACATGTGGTGATACCTGTGGTAAAATGTTGGATTGTGGGATACATACTTGTCCAGAGAGATGTCATACTGGATCATGTGGCAAGGTAAGACGTGAAAAAAATTGAGTTCAGATTTTTATTCATTGTCGCGTAATCATTGAACACTTGAAATGACAGTAGTTTATTTACATAAAAATTTCTACAGAAGATAGCTGGCAAATGTCCAATTGGTATGCCTTACTTTCAGATGCAGATGCATGATTTTCTAATTTTTGTGCTATTTTCACATTTCTTGATCAGTGTGAGAAAAATATTTCTCCTCACTAGTGAAATATCTGTTCTTGGCAAATGATTGGTCGAAATTTAATTATGACATCAAATCTTCTTGGTTTCCTCTGAATTGTCCTAGTGTGACTTTGTGAAAAAAGGTGACCGTGCCTGATGACGTCACATATAAAGAACACAACTTTCTGCAAATTTTTGTAAAGGAAGGATAAATCTCATAAGGAAAACAGATCCAACCACAATATCTTGTATGTGTGTTTGTTTATAAGAAAGCAACATAAAAAAAAACCTATGCATGTATGCAAAGTTTATTATACGGTCTTATAAATCTATTGACAAGTTTTTATACACACTTATCTTTGATTTTTTTGTCGTTGTCATATAGTAAGTGGGGGCATCATTTGTACAACTTCTTTTCTTTTTTCCTAGTGCTTAAATGTTGCGACAAAGACTTGTTTATGTGGACAAAGGAAAAAAGAACTACCATGTTATAAAGATTATCATTGTGAGACAAAATGTACCAGAATGAGGGATTGTGGAAAGCATCAGTGTCGGAGAAAGGTAAAAACACATGTTTGCTAACAAACTTTATGAACTGCAAGCAAAAATCTGATAGTATCATATAAAATCGCAGGGCATTTTAAGTTCTGAAGAGGAGAATTCTTATATATTTAGTCATGTAAAAAGTTGATGGAAAGGACTAGGTTCTAGAAAGGTCAGTATTGTCCCTATAGTTCCATGAAATACAGAAATAAAAGTAACTTCTGATGGCAAAATATTTCAAATATCTGGCAAGTAGAAAATCAAGTTTTTAAGCATGACACACTTATATGTCATTATGACGTCATAATTGTGCATTAACATGAAGCAAATCATAATTTTGACTAAATTTTCGGCTAGATTTTGATAATTTTTGCCACAAACGACTTTGGCCACATCCAAGAACATCATTGAGTTTCAACTTCATTATTATTTTCCGTGTTTTGATATATAAATGGAATGTTAGGATGTTTGGATTTTTTCTTTTTGAATCTTTGAATTTAAAGTCATTAGCGAAACAGATCCAACCACAATATCTCATGTGTGTTTGTTTATAAGGCAGAAACACAAAAAAAACCTATACGCTACATGTATATATTTTCAGTGTTGTGATGGGAATTGTTCTCCTTGTGAACAGACGTGTAACAAACCGCTGGGTTGTAAAACACATAAATGTGCAAGCCGTTGTCATCCTGGTAAGTCCTAAGACAATTTAAAAGTACTTGGTCCTCTGTCATAAAACTGTAGACAAACACTAAATGCAGTAATTTGATTGGATAAATTCTGAATCTGAGTATGATTATCATGCTCAAAATTTATAAGCTCGCAAGGCCTGGTAAGGCACATGACAATTTAAAAGTAAAGATAAACTATTTTGGTTCCTTGAAAAATTAAAATACCACAAATTGTAACCGTAAGTCATTCTTCAGATGATCCATATTCCTTCATTCATAAAAAAAAACATAACAGAGATCACCAAAAATACTAGACAGTACTACAAGCCACATTAAGCACCAACACTCAATTACTCTGAGAAAAAAAAACCTACAATCAAAAACAACAACAAACAACATAGGGTTAAGGTAGCACGACGTGGTAAACGTTTAAAATTGTGATTACCGTTTACTTAAGGATGATCGCTACTCTTGTTTTTATACGCCCGTCAAATTTTTGACGGGACGTATTATGTTATACAAATGTCCGGCATCCATCCGTCTGTCTGTCTGTCCGTCTGTCTGTCTGTCCGTCTGTCTGTCCGGCGTAAACATGTCGCACCGTAACTTGAGAATGACTTATCCAAATTTCATGAAACTTAATATAGTTGTTTCTTATGATGGTCAAACGATCTGTATACTTTTTGGTGAAAATAAGATTAAAACTTTTTGAGTAATTGGACTTAGTAACTAAAACAGGTGTGTGTTTTTTTTCACATGTCGCGCCGTATCTCAAAAACAATTTATGATTATTGCTTAAAACTTGACACACTTCTTAGTTATATTAATCTTAAGATCTGTATACTTTTTGTTGATGATTCAAAATTTTATTTTAGAGATATTGAGTATTTTGTTAAAAAAGGGGGAGGGGTTTTTCACATGTCGCGCCGTATCTCAAAAACAGTTTATGATTATTGCTTAAAACTTTACACACTTCTTAGTTATATTAACCTTAAGATCAGTATACTTTTTGGTGATGATTCAAAATTTTATTTTTGAGTTATTGAGTATTTTGTAAAAAAAGGGGGAGGGGTTTTTCACATGTTGCGCCGTATCTCTAAAACGATTTATGATTATTGCTTAAAATTTTACACACTTCTTAGTTATACTAATCTAAAGATCTGTATACTTTTTGGTTTTGATTCAAAATTTTATTTTTGAGATATTGACTTTTTTTTTTTTTAAAAGGGGGGGTTTTCACATGTCGCCGTATCTCAAAAACGATTTATGATTATTGCTTAAAATTTTACACACTTCTTAGTTATATTAATCTAAAGATCTGTATACTTTTTGGTTTCGATTCAAAATTTTATTTTAGAGATATTGAGTTTTTTGTATAAAAAAAAAAGGCGGGTTTTCGCATGTCACGCCGTATGTCAGAAACTATTTATGCTTATTGCATAAAAATTCACACACAAGACCACGGGCGTATCATGCGCTCATGGCGCAGCTGTTTATTGGCTTTTTGTCAGAGAACGTTAAACTGGTTTAAGGATGTTCGCTACTCTGTTTCAAAATAACATGCTTTTAAAAGACTGATATAAATTGATAGTATATAAATAAAGAAACTAAAAAAGGAGAAAAAAAATGAAGGGTCTGTGTGCTTGTTTTCGAGATATAAGCCATTGAAAATTTGGGGGGAAATTATTCTCTCTAGATTTTTCATACATTTAATATTGGCACCTTTTTTTTCAAAACCGATGAAAAAATAACAATGATTTTATAAGATTTTCAAAGATGACATTTTAGACTATATGTAATCAAATTATGGAAAGAAAAGTAGGGGTTAATGGGCAAATTTTTTTTAATGGCACTACATGGGTAGGACCATGGGTCAGGATTCCGAACATCTGACAAAAATTCAAAAACCCAGAGGAGCGAACATCCTTAAAACAGTTTAACGTTCACACAAACTATACTCCTTGCCTATATATGTCGACTATATGTTGTAAAACTAAAACATACAACATAAAGACTTGCACTGTGCATATACTAACACGATTGTTACTAACTTAGTGAAGGGAATTAAATACAGCACATAATTTGGAAAGCTGGGTTCCAGGTCAGGAGCCTGTAATTCAGTGGTTGTTGTTTGTTGCTGAATGTCATATTACTTGATTTGTCACAAATTAAGCCATTTATTTTCCTTTTTAATTGTTTTACATTTTTCATATTGGGGCCTTTTATAGCTGACTTTACACTATAGGTATTGTTCATGACTATATGGTGCCTAATAATTGTTTAAATCCACATCATTAGGTCTCTGTTGATAGTTGTCTCATTGGAAATCATACAACCTCTCCTTATATCAAAATGTGCTTGCTACTGCATTTTATTTATATTTATCGTCTTGTTGTCAGTTTGTTGTATGTTCTGTGATAAAAGATAAAAATTATCTCCATGGCCTCACTGAAAAACTCATTAAAACATGATCATCTTCAATTGACATCACAAAATATTTTGTTTTTTAAAAAAATGTTTTTTTGTTTAGACTTTTGTGCTGTATAACATCAACAGGAATTCAGGGCATGATTAATTATTGTTTAACTAAAATTCAGGAGATCCATTTCCCTATTCAGCACTACTGTGGATTCATTATTATTCGTTGGATACCAGTTATTGTGGATTTTGTTGGTACAGGTGAACCACGATATTAAATGTTCAGCAAATAACAAATTATTTGTAGGCTTGTATGCAGGCTTTGGCAAAACCATGAAATAAATCAAACATGATTGTTTTCCATTATCCAAATGAAAATTGGTACCCAGGAAATTAAATGAATCCACAATAAATGATGTACTGTAGCAACATATTCTTGATGTGCATCATCCTGGAGGTGTTTTGGCTGAACATCACACACTTATATTAATCACTTTCATATATTTAAACTTATTGCTTTTTTTACTTAAATATTGCATGTATTACCTAATAAAGTTATATAATCATATCTCTTTTCCATTTCTAGGTCGTTGCTACCCATGTTCGAACACAGTAGAGATAACATGCAATTGTAAAATGGCGAGGATAACAGTTCCGTGTGGAAGAGAAAAGATCACCAAACCTCCGAGATGTCACCAAAAGTGTAGGTCAGTAGTCAGTAAAAAAGGGGGAGTATTTATTACTCAAAGTCTAAAAAACTATTCCATAAAAGTATTATTATGTATTGATGACTCAATTTTGTGTGCTAATTTCCCGATTCGAAAAGAAATTACATTTTGATGGAATTCATTTAGAAAGGGCTAATTGGAAGAAAAGATATCTCCATAAATTAGTAGGTCAAATACACCAGAACTCTTTGTAAGTTATGTATGTTATTTGTTATTTTGTCTTTCCTCATTTTAGGAGACCGCCATTATGCCACCATCCTGCCACAATACCACATTCTTGCCACTTTGGAGAATGCCCGCCTTGTAGACTTCCATGTTTAAAGCAGTTGTCTCTGTGTGGTCACTCTTGTCCTTTGATGTGCCACTCAGCAGTCAAGGTCAAGATTAAAGAAAATGTAAGTTTGGGATTTGAGAAAACACAAAATGGAATAAAAGCCATGGTCAGAGACATTGAAAATGATTTAAGGTTATCATTTAAAAATGTGAAGGTCGAAATGAAATAAAAATATCAAGATGATGTTGTATTTGAATATATATTTTTACAATGTAACTGACAAGTTGCATTTGATTACACAAATTCAAGTTTGAATGAAATATATACAATGAATAAGTATAAGAAGGTTATGTCCACAGTAGGATGGAGCCTCATTGTCTGAGTGTTCTTAGTTGTTTATCTACTGAATCAATAGAATGTCAACTCTGAAGTTGTGAGTTTGAATCCCGCACGTGGCAGCTGCATTCGACTGCAATCTCAATTGACATGATTTGTCAGTTTTTTTGCCTAAGGTCACTGGTTCTCCCCAGGCACTCCAAATCCTTCACCAATAAAAACTGACAGCCAGTAGTTCTGATAAAACTCTAACAATCAACCAATTAATCAATCATCCTTAGAAAAATAAGATGTGTAATGATTGAGACAACTCTCCACAAGAGACCAAATGACACAGACATTAACAACTATATGTCAACGTATGACCTTTAGCAATAAGTAAAACCCATACTAAATAGTCAGCTATAAAAGGCCCAGAAATTAACAAATATAAATCATTCAAACAAGAAAAATATTGGGAAATAACAAATATAAATCATTCAAACATTAAAACTAGCGTGGTGATTTAAACAAAAAAACGAATATTATATACAGCAACAAATGACAGCCACTGAATTACAGGCTCCTTACTTGGGACAGTCACATATAAATTGTGGTGGGGTTAAAATAGTTAGATGGCACCAAACCCTCCCCCTTGGTATGATAAGTAGTGTAATGTTTTCAAATTTTTCATGCAATAAAATCAGGTGATTTTTTTTTTGCAAATTTAGATACCATATTTTGGGAGGATATTTTGGCGTTTTTTTTTCTCGAAAGGCATGTGTTTTATTTTGGTGTGTGTAATTTTGGTGCTTCGTCCAATTGAAATGTTTAATTTTGGAACAACAGTAGAGAGCAACCTCATTCATATTTGTCTTTAATTACCCCTTTATTGACAAATATCATTGAATTTCTCAAACTAGAAACACGACAAAGTTAACTTAATGAAGGAATCGGATACGGATGCAATTGCAAATAATTCCGTATATCGTGATTCAAAGCTGAAAGAAAATATGAAATAAAATCTTAAACATTAAAACCACTTTTTAAATAGATTATTTATTTTTTACAAATATCATTTGAAATAAATTTTAATCATCTCTATTGCAGTACATGTTAATCTATTGACGATCAAGGATTTGAATTTTAATCCTTATGCCTCTGGCAGTACCTATTAATTAATTGAAGATAAAGGATTACAGGAAGTTTTGATATTCTAATTACCAATAACGGCGTCTAATCAGCAATAGCCTGGCATATTTATGACATGTGATAATAAAAATTCATGTTGTGTTTTCTTAACAATTACAGAAAATTGACAATTAAGTAAAAATTATATAGTGTTGTTGTCAAATTATACCAGGTATTTATTTGCAGATTTGGCTATGTTACTTAAGTTTCGGGTTTAGCCTTATCTAGCTTTTTTCGCAGTGATTTAATTTAACAATTTCTAGTTGGTTTACAGTATGGTCTTATTTTGCTGAGTTCTCATGAATTCTCGTGACACATTTTAAGTGTATTTCATACTGTTTACTCATTATATCATGTTTATAATCTTATTTATGATCTTAATATTACAGCTAAATGTTGCTGGACCTTGGGAAGGAAGACCAACAATTAGAGAGGAAATTCAAGATAAACCTTGTCCTCCTTGTAGAGTACCTATACCTATACAATGTTTAGGATTACATGAGGTAAGTACATGTATATTTGACAGGTTTATTTTAGTCAGGCTTTTACTGCTATTTGGTTTGCTCACTGTTGAAGGCCATACAGTGACCAATAGTTGTTAATCTTTTACACCCTTTGGTCTCTGGTGAAGAGTTGAAAAACCACATTTTATTTTTAAATTATAGTATGCTTAGTATTATGTTGACTTGGAATAGGGGGAAAATGTGTTATGAAAAGGATTCCTACTATATTTTCAAGCATGAGCATACACACTAATTTAACAAAGACTATTAATAAAACATAAATATAACTTAGTCAACTACTAAGGGCTGTTCCATAAAAAAAACATACATCAAGTTTTATAGGTAACTGTTGCTCTCCTCAAATACATAATTATTAGTATTATGTGTACCTTATTATTATTGATTGGAAAAAAACGATGGTATCAACAAAAACTTTCACAGTTTTCCAAGAAAGAAAAAAATTGTTTGAATTATGAAAAACTACATACATTATAATCAAATTTAACTAGGAATCTAGATTGCAGGAACTAGATATTCTCAATATACATGTTTTGATTATAAAAGCAGTCAATTTTGAAAAAAAAATCTTAACTTATTATTTACATTTTTATTTCAGACAGGTAACTTTGCATGTTCTGATGTTAGACCCTACAGCTGTGGTAGGCCATGTGACCGTCTGCTGGCATGTGGTAATCATACATGTCAACTACTCTGTCACCAAGTTACTGGAGCAAAAGAAAATGGAAAGGTGAGTTTAAATATTGAATTGCTTCACTTTGAAACCATTTTTGGATCTTAAAATTAGTTGGTTATATCTTTGGTATAAAATCAGTGTACTATTGTGTTGCTTTTTTCTTTCTTATTTTAATTTTAAGAGTTAGTCAAATTCGTTTTAACTATGGAAACTTGTCTTTTTTCAACAGCTTTGATAACATACAGTTTAGATGCTGCTAAAGTTTATATACTTTTTATCCAGGCTTTTTACCCAAAAAAATTCTTATCAGTTTTCCTTCAACAATTCTTCCATTTCCTTTAGTTATTTATTTTGAATAAAAACAACATTTAAAAAATAAGTTTTACCCCTCAACTGGAAAAAAAGTAATAAAGAAAGAAATAGTCCTGATAAATGCTGTTCTTGTTTAATAATTAAAGTGTTTTTTTTTCTATCTTCAATAATAGGCGGGTGACAATTGCAGTCCATGTGATGAGGGATGTGACAAGCCCCGCCCAGAGGGGTGTACCCACAAATGTCCACTACTCAAATGTCATCCAGGAGATTGTTCCCCTTGTACACAGATGATCCGCATGAGGTGTCATTGTCAGATAATGGTACAACATTTAGATTGCAATAAATTGACAAATTCCGATGAGCATACTAAAAATACCCTGAGGTCATGTGGAGGTCAATGTCCGAAAAAGGTAAGTAATATAAAGCCAAATTATCACACTTGTGTATGTCAAATTAAAGATCGATTCTGTCAGGGAAAAAGATTGAATTTGTTGTTTTGTGATACCATATGAATGAAAGGATGTGTATATTTCAATATATCAATGAGACAACACAAAAAAGAAATCTACTAGTTTACATACCAACTCAACAGAAATAATGTTAAAAGAGTGAAAAATAGTGATTTTTTTTTTCTCAAAAATGTGACCTACCTGTTATGAAATTGATCTTCAGACAGAGATTTCCAAATTTTGAAGAGAAACCAAAGAGAGGCTTCCATCTGTATCCAGAGAGTTAACATCTTCGACACATTTCTTTATTTGCAAATAATAAGGTTGGAATTGATGGTTTGCATTAAAAAAAAAAGGAGAGCCATAACTCTAGACAACTCTGTAAATGTTATACATAATATATATTTTGGCTGTCATGTGGACATGCTTGTAGTTCTTATAATTAAAAAAGAAGGGCCATAACTCTAGACAACTCTGTGATACATACTTCAGCTGTTATTATATGAACATGCTTGTAGTTCTTATTGTTTAAAAAAGAAGGGTCATAACTCTAGACAACTCTGTAATATATATTTCAGCTGTCATGTGGACATGTTTGTAGTTCTAATTGTTAAAAAAAAAAGAAGGGCCATAACTCTAGACAACTCTTTAATATATATTTCAGCTGTCATGTGGACATGTTTGTAGTTCTAATTGTTAAAAAAAAAAAGGGTCAGAACTCTAGACAACTCTTTAATATATATTTCAGCTGTCATGTGGCCATGTTTGTAGTTCTAACTGTCATGCTGGTCCTTGTCCTATGGAAAAGAAATGTATCAAGAAGACCACACGGAAATGTGCATGTAAACGTATTAAAAAGGAAGTGGTTTGTAAAGATGTGACAAGCAAAGTGCTAGATTGTGATGAGAAATGCAAGGAAGAACAGGAGAAAAAGAAAGAGGTAAGTTCAACAAGAGTTTCAAATGGCTGTATGTCATTGTGGCTGATATGGTTAATTTTTAAAAGCATTTGCTTTTATGGTCTTCGTGTAAATGCCATTTTGTTTACGTGATATAGAGTGCACACATTTTTATACGCCTGTCAAAATTTTGACGGGACGTATTATGGTATACAAATGTCCGGCGTCCGTCTGTCTGGAGTAAACATGTCGCACCGTAACTTCAGAACAACTTATCCAAATTTCATGAAACTTAAGATAGTTTTTCCTTATGATGGTCAAAAGATCTGTTTACTTATTGGTGAAAATAAGATTAAAACTTTTTGAGTAACGGGACTTTGGAACTAAAACAGGGGTGTGTTTTTATACACCCATCAATTTTTGACGGGGTGTATTATGGTATACAAATGTCCGGTGTCCCTCCGTCTGTCTGTCCGTCTGTCTGTCCGGCGTAAACATGTCGCACTGTAACTTGAGAATGACTTATCCAAATTTCGTGAAACTTAACATAGTTGTTTCTTATGATGGTCAAACGATCTGTATACTTTTTGGTGAAAATAAGATTAAAACTTTTTGAGTTACGGGACTTAGTAACTAAAACAGGTGTGTGTTTTTTTTCACATGTCGTGCCGTATCTCAAAAACAATTTATGATTATTGCTTAAAACTTTACACACTTCTTAGTTATATTAATCTTAAGATCTGTATACTTTTTGGTGATGATTCAAAATTTTATTTTAGAGATATTGAGTATTTTGTTAAAAAAGGGGGAGGGGTTTTTCACATGTCGCGCCGTATCTCAAAAATAGTTTATGATTATTGCTTAAAACTTTACACACTTCTTAGTTATATTAACCTTAAGATCTGTATACTTTTTTTTGATGATTCAAAATTTTATTTTTGAGTTATTGAGTATTTTGTAAAAAAAGGGGGAGGGGTTTTTCACATGTCGCGCCGTATCTCAAAAACGATTTATGATTATTGCTTAAAATTTTACACACTTCTTAGTTATATTAATCTAAAGATCTGTATACTTTTTGGTTTTGATTCAAAATTTATTTTAGAGATATTGAGTTTTTTGTATAAAAAAAAGGGGGGGTTTTCGCATGTCACGCCGTATATCAGAAACTATTTATGCTTATTGCATAAAAATTCACACACACAAGACGATGGGCCTATCATGCGCTCATTGGGCAGCTGTTTATTTTCACATGTCGTGCCGTATCTCAAATACAATCTATAATTATTGCTTAAAACTTTACACGCTTCTTAGTTATATTAATCTAAAGATCTGTATACTTTTTGGTGATGATTCAAAATTTTATTTTCGAGTTATTGAGTTTTTTGTAAAAAAAGGGGGGTTTTCACATGTCGCGCACTATCTCAGAAACTATTTATGATTATTGCATAAAACTTCACACACTTGTTAGTTATATTAATCTGAAGATCTGTTTACTTTTTCGTGATGATTCTTTTTTTTATTTTTGAGATATTGAATTTTTATTGAGCTTTTTGGTAAAAAAAAGGTAGTCTTTAGAAAGAACCAATATGGGGAATTTATTTTAGAGAAACATTATACCATAAACACTGAAACATGTTGTAACAATTTTTGCTTCTCTCTTTTATCAACTTTCTGTTTTGTGGAAATTTTCAATTAATGTATTGACGTCATGCAAAATATTCGTTGCTAAAATCTTTGCTCCCTTAATCAGAATTATTGCTTCAATTTGGTATCATATAAAACATGTTGTGAGCAATTTTTTTCTGTCTCTTATATAAACTTCCTATTGAGCAGGAATAAGGAATGAGTCAGGATATACTTAGCACGACTTCCTGTACAACCCCCGTGTTATTCCAGAAACATTTATTATGTTTCTTTTTCACAAGACGACGAGCGTATCATGCTCTTGTGGCGCAGCCGTTTATTCATTCTACAAGTTCATTGATGTTATGAGACTAGTGCAAGGATCCTGAAATTTTTCACACAATTTCATTTTGAGATGTCTTAACAAATTGGTGACTATATTTCAAATAGTCAATATCACAGTGTACCAGATTCATTGCATCAACAAACTTGTATCGACTGTTTCATTGCATTTAACTCGTGAATTTTCTTACCATTTTACTTTAAACGTTCAAGAACAATTTAGAGAAGGCAACAGTTTAAAATTGTAAAGATTTTATTGACTCAAAATGTTTAATTTCTCAGACATCGCTACCGTTTCTTTCCATTTAGGATTTTGAGGACGAAATTAAAACCCGAAGTTTTGCGACAATACTAAAGTACCAGTTATTCCAGATTCATTTCTGGTATTCGTTTTGTTCAGTCCTACATCCATGCACAAGAAAGTGAAAATTTCATATCTTCTCTCAATTATAAAATGGTTAAAAAGGGCTATAAATCTGTCATATCATACTGATAAGGCGACTGATAATATGACTTGACAAACAGATGTTTAAAACACAAAATTGTTAAACTTTAAAAGTTTTAGGAAAATGCACAGGCATATGTAGGGAACCCCCCCCCCTCCCCTCTTTTTATTTTTTTGTGTTTAATTTTTACTTTGGAAATATTCTTTGAAGTTGTTTATCCTGACTTTCCAAGATTTATTTGAAAACCTTAACAATTTTAAATATGGTTTTTAAAAATATTCTAATCTTGCAATTTATTGAAAAAATCAAATTTAAAAAAAAAATCAAAATCACATATAAAGATACATTTCTTGATTGGTATTGTGTATTTCATTTTTATCCCTTCCTGCAACAATTGTCACCTTTAAATTGAGAAAGAAACCATGTGGTATCTGTGAACTAACATAATATAATTGATGTGACAGTTTAATTTGAAAATATGGTGTTTTCTAAGTGGTGCAGGAGATAAGTTCAATTTTTATTCAACATCATTTTGATGCAAATGGTCTTAGATGTAAAACTGTGTTTATCAAATTGACAGAAAATCACCAGGTTTTTAATTTCATTACCTTTGAAAGGGTATGAATACATTGAATATGATAGATGTTAGTTGAACTCGTTTAATTAAGCATGAAATCATTTTACATTTTACAATTTACTGTCCCATCTTGAATAATCTTCTGAAGACAATTTGATGCATGTGTTTACCTAGTAAATAAAGCACATGTGTTACTTGTGAAAAATTACTTTTAATTTTTAAATCAGAATTGTTGATTGTCTTTGCTGAAAAGTAATTAAAAAATTAATAACAGTTGTCAAAGAATTTTAATTTCTTTATGATATTAGTTCTGAGCTTTGTCAGTTGGGAATTAAAAACACAGAAAGAAAGTGATTAATGATCATTAGCCTATATGTCCTGGAGGCATAATATAGTTTATAAGGAGGACCCTAAGGATTATCAAACTATACTGGAGTGGCAGTTTTATTACAGGAAAGGGATTATAAAACATCAAAAATTGCAAAATGCCAATTTAGAAATCTGATCTCAATGAAATGACCATAATTGTTTTTGTAAAAAAATATAATTTGTCCTAAATCAAAATTTTTAATTTAGGACATATAGCTTTCAGCTTAGGACATGACTGGCAAATATGACTAGTGTGATTTTGACAATTTTTTTTTAAAAGGGCACCAACTTTTAAGTTATCTCAAAATGACCGAAATTGTGTGAAAAAATTTCCAGATCCTTGATGTAAAGTTATTTTATTTTTGTTTTACAGGAAGAAGAAGAAAAAAAGAGATTACTCAACGAAGAAGAAATTAAACAGCAACAAGCCAAAGTTGAAGAATTTGAGAAGAGGATGGGAAAAGGAAGAAAAAGAAGAAAGAAGTATGATGAAGAGGAAGAAGAGAAATTAACTTTTATACAGCAACACAAAAAACTTTTAATAATGTCTCTTACTGTGGCTGTGTTAGCAATATTTGCTTATAGTTTATTGTTACAGTAATTTGTTTGTTATAGGAATTTCAAAGTAATGGAATTTGGTAAGGTTTCTACAGTCTATGGTTTATTAAGTTTTTAATATTTATTTGTCTTCTTTGTTTGTGTCATTGGGTTGCTGTCTGATTAATGTACTGTGGATTCACTATTATTCATGGGATACCAAATTTCATGGATTTTGCAGAAACAGGTGAACCACGAATTTAAATGTTTAACGAATTACAAATTTTCTATAAGCTTGTATAAGGGTGTGGATGGGAGTTTACAGAATAGAGAATAATGGGTGAAAAATAAAAGGAATACAGAATAATGAGGTGCTGAAATATAAAGAAAAAGAAAAAAATGGGCCAAAATATACAGAATAGAGAAAAATGCCTTAGCAAATTAAAGAATACAGAAAAGGAGGACTTTTGCAAAACAATGAAATCAATTATCCACAGAATTGCAAGTTTTCCTGAATCCACATAAATTGGTACACATGAAAATTAATGAATCCACAGTATACCCCTCATCTCCTTCTTTTCATTTCAATGGTAGAAACAATTAAAGGTAAACAAATTCCCATCTTATTTATCTGAATATTTATCCAGAACAAAACAATTGTGGATGTATGTTTGCAAGGTGGATGGTCAAATCAGTTTTACCATTGTTTACTATCTAAAATTGCAATTATTGTCATTTGTGTGGTCAATCATGGAATAAATATTAAAAGAATGACTGAAAAACCTGTCTGATGAGTTTCTGTCAATATAGCTAATGAAAATTTTACAGACTCAACTCTAAAACAAGCAAACTTAAATTTTGTGAAAAAATATACACTTGAATGGTGCAGGTATAACTTGCTAACACTGTAAACTAAAATGCATTTGGCCCTTTGTAGCTTGCTGTTTGGTGTGAGCCAAGGCTCCGTGTCGAAGGCTGTACTTTCACCTATAATTGTTTACTTTTAAACATTGTGACTTGGATGGAGAGAGGTCTCATTGGCATTCATACCACATCTTCTTATATCTATTATCTGTATGCAGTATTTCTAAAATTACAATTATCATATTTTGTCCATTATTCAACAATTGCAATAATATGTAAGCAAAGATCAGCCAAAAATTCTCAATTTACAGAATTGTTTTTCAACTAACGAAAAGCAATTGACATTATATGAATCTACACAAGAATGAGATTTTACGGTGCTTTTGTGTGATGTCTTTCAATATTTATTGTACATGTATATATTTATAATTTTGATATTACCTCTAACAGAATGATGATGTATTTGCAATGATAAATAACTTTCCTTGACAATGTTGTAATGTAGTATGTACCAATAGATTACTTATCATGCTTCAGTGTATCATGTATCACTGATTTTAGTTTATTTCTAAATAATATCTTGTTTACTCTGTTAAATGGTACGTTTTTGTCAGTGGATTTTTTTCTTCAAGATTTTGACATCTTTTTCTGTGCACAAAATTGATCTTTAAGGAAAATCAGTGTTTAGGACAAAAACAGGTAAAAAGAAAACAAGTTTACTATAAAAAGTGAAATAACAAAAATTATACACATATTTACAGAACAGATGTCAATGATTCTAGTGTTTTAAAAGTTAATAGTATTATGAGTTTTAGAATTCTCTACCCAAAAAAAAAATCACAATTACTGGACACTCCTACATTCACAGGAACTTCTTTCCTTCTCTGTGCATGTACTGTATACATCAGAATGGGATTGTTTATGACTATGTGTGTAAGTTTCTGTTATGATTATTTATTTATGGATTAAGTAATTTAAGAATTGAATGCATATAATTGGTTTTTATTTTCCTCGTAAATTTCAATTTGACATTCTAAAATGTGTCACAGCAATGTTGTATATATATACTTACATTGTGGGAATAAAGCATGAATCCATCCATACTAGTAATTCCTGATCAATAATCTTTAATTGGATATATTCCACAAATTTCAGTAATAATAATAAATTAATTACTGTACGAAGTAAAATTTCTCCCATTCATTGGGGAATTTACAAAAACATTGTTTAAAGTAATTGAATGGTCCTTACAAAACTTCAAATGGCCTTGGACCTTTGATAAAAAACGTGTTTTTTTTACCTTTTACTGAAGAGACATTAACAAATGACTTTTGACGACTAAATTTAGAAAAGTCTCACATTTTTTCTCGAATATGGTATTTCTTAGACAAGCATAATCCTTCTGATAATATTCTTCACTAGGAAAACCAAAGAAAATAAAAATCTTAATTATCGAAATACCTGTAAGATAGCATTCATTCAAAGCTCTCTACATATTGTTCTAGCTGTAAATTTTTATTTAATGAATTATTTATTGAGTAATGAATGTTTTTGAAAGAATAAAGTTTATGTTTCTGTGTATTTGTTTATTTCTAATGGGGTTTATTTTCAGATGATTGAAGTAAATCAATTGGGGTAATTGCTTTAACATTTGAAACTTTATGGCAAATTTGTAGGTCTTGAGAACTACTGCATTTATACAGCTATAGATGACATAAAGTAACTTTTGAGGTGCTGATCACACGTTCAGTATTACCAGCAGTAGAGGATTGAAATTTTAGTTTTTCAAAGCCTATTATGGAAAATACCATGCACAATAAGGGTTCAAGTTAAAAATTACTTATGCTGATGTTGATAGATTCACTTTCAAATTCTGGTGATTTTGAGGAACTACATATTCCGAATGTTGCAATCTGAGAGTCGTTGATGAGTTGCATGTAGACGAAACGCTTGTCTGGTGTACAAAGTTATTGATTTTAATAATAAATTGACACTGGTATTTTTTTCCAAATTTATTACCCTGCCATGAAATACTAATAGAATATGCAGAGTGATATTTCATAGTGAACTATCAACATTTTCACTGACAAATCACCATCCATGATGCAAATTGTATTGTATGTAAGGTTTAACATTGTGTGCTCTATAAACAATTATGAACAAAAGACTTCCTGAGAACTTCCTAACCAAATTATACCTGCCAACAAGACCATGACGTTCCTCATAACTGGCTTTTAATGGTACTTTTATCATCATCATTTGCTTGAAGGTATATGCATGTAATTAAGTCAATAAATTTCACATAAGAGAGCACACATTGAAGCATCACGCTTGCCTTCTGATTATGATCTAATTTTATTACAAAAGTCTTTAAAATAAAAACCCTACTACAGGTATAACAGTAACCAAACATTTTCTAAAAAAATTGATCCAAGAAAAAAAACCCTTTAGATAGACATTTAGTTTGTAGTTGCAATTTTCCCTGAATTTGCTTTCAGTAAATGGGTAATGTGTTTTTTTGTTTTTGTTTTTTTTTTTGTGTACTTTGCGTCGATCTGATAAGTCTATCCTTTTTCAACTGATTTGTAAGTTTGTTCCTGTGACGTTATGTTGTACTGTATCACCACTGTCCAAGGTGAGAGGAGTATGCTGTATTTCTTGAAATTGAAATAATTTATCAGTGTCTATAGTTCAAGAATCACAATAATAAATGGACTCAACAATTTCTGAATTACTGTACAAGTCTAATTGGCAATCATACAAGATTTCTTATTTGTTTACATAACATCTGAGAAATGGACAGGAGTGTAAAAACCTAAGTTAACAGGAGCAGGATCTGCTTACCCTTCTGGAGCACCTGAGATCACCCACAGTTTTTGGTGGGGTTCGTGTTGCTTAGTCTTTAGTTTTCTATGTTGTGTTTTGTGTACTATTGTTTGTCTTTTTCTTTTTTAGCCATGGCGTTGTCAGTTTATTTTCGATTTATGAGTTTGAATGTCCCTCTGGTATCTTTTGCCTCTCTTTTTTAACAAATGAACAAAAAAATGAGATTAAGGTCAACGAAAGCTGATACGGAAATGCAGACCTTAAATCCTATTTACCCAGGAATTGTTTACCTATTTTCTTTTAGTATATAACGAACAAGACTTATCGCGAACAATTACATTTGACTAATGAGCCTTGAGAATGAAGTCATGGTTAGATAAACCTAGTCAAAGGGAAGGCTTATTATTATATACACCCAGCAAAATTGAACTTAGATTCATACAGTACATATATATGATACTGGACTTATTCACGAAAATTTAACTTTATTTACAGAACAATAAAATGAGACAAAGTCATGATAACAATGATCATATTTGCCAAAATAGTTGTCCTATAACTTAAAATACTTGAATAAATCAGGTGATCAATTGAGGATTTTGTAATTTGAATAAAGATTTGTACAAACACATGATGCTGCAATCTAATTACCATCAATATAGGTCATTCTGTGACATGTGTCGCAGTAGAGACGATAAACTTTTTCCAGCGGCCACACTCAATTGTCTTATTCATATTCCACAATGTTGCGCATGCAATCCAAAATAATAATTGAAATATATGCGGTTCTCTGACAGTTAAAATCCTATATACAGGTGCTCTTTAAGTAAGCAACCTGTATTATTTCAGTGGTTGTCTTTGTTTATGCCATACTTGTTTTATATTTATTGTTTCAGCATAAATAATGCCGTATGGTGATGTATGGTGATCTATATGCGTTTACATCCGGGTCATTTGGTATCCATTTTAAATTGTTGTCTCATTGGCAATCATACCACATCTCTTTATAACTAAAAGAAAATCATTCGTGGTTCGATCTAATGGGGGGGCAGTGAGGAGGTGACTAAGGCATTGAAAGTGATAATATGTCAAAATGTGGTACACGAAACGCTACCAAAATGAAGGATCAGGGCTGCAACGCATTAATGAGTTGGCCTCTCAATGACATTAATGAATTGGGGCCTCGGTGGCCGAGTGGTCTAAGTAGTTACTACTGTAATCACTAGTCAGTCAACACTGAGGTTGTGAGTTCGAACCCCGCTCGTGCGGGTGCACTCGACTCCAATCTTAATTGACTAGGATTGTCAGTTTTCCTATTGAAGGTCGGTGGTTTTCTCCGGGCACTCCGGCTTCCTCCACCAATAAAAACTGGACGCTACGAAATAGTCCAAAAGCGGTGCTTAAAAATGGCGTTAAAACACCAAAAATCAAATCAAATAATTAATGAATTGACCCCACTGTACCGTCAGTGGTATTCGTGTATTCATAAGTCGTCATCTTAATCATTAGTGGCACCAAAAAATGTCGTCTATCTTTTTTCAGTGTAATCAACGGTTCTCTCAGACAGAGGAGCAATACTACAACAGAAAAAAAACAATGCAGCATCATAAATTTTTCTAAGATAAAAATAAGATGATGTGGTATGATTGCCAATGAGACAACTCTCCTCTAAAGACCAAATGACATAGAAGTTAACCATTATTGGTCATTGTACGGCCTTCAACAACGGACAAAACCCATATCGCATAGTCAGCTATGAAAGCCCCGAAATGACAAATGTAAAACAATTCAAACGAGAAAACTAATGGCCTGATTTATGTACAATATAATGAACGAAAAACAAATATGATATTCAGCAAAAAACGCCAAACTCTGAATTACAGGCTCCTGATTTGGGACAGGCACTTACAGAACGTGGCGGGGTAAAACTAGTTTGCTGGAGCCAAACCCTCTCCCTTACCTGGGACAGTCGTCATGGTGGTGTAACAGTACAACATAAAACAAGTATAAAAAAATTAGTTGAAAAAGGCCTAACTCATGATCAGATCGATACAAAGCAGAAAAAAACATCTAACAAAAAACGCAAAAACACAGAGTGACCGGACGTGGAAGGGTATTTATAAATCCTCACAACAAAAAAGACAAAGTACAGATCTTAGAGTACTCGCAGTTAATAACAGGTATTTCGAAGACAACAACAACTAATAAATAAGTTCAGTGGATTTTGCTTTTTTTTTAGATACCTTTTAGGTGATATAGATTTAAATTATACCTTCTTGGATTTTGGTGTCTGAGTGTTAATTGTAATGGTAAATCATGAAAGGCGCGTCGAATGCACAGACATATTGTGTAAAATTAAAACATCAGTTGTTAAACCTTAGAACCTTAGAAAAAAACATAAATTTGTATAAAACAATTGAAATTGACTATTCTTTCGTTTGCTCGTAAATTTATACTACTTCATTTTAACCATGAAAATAGTCTCACATGTTGATTTTGCTGGTGCAACTGATTTTCTTGGGTATAGAAATATGGCATTCCTTTGAACGTTTACTGTCTGACAGTAAACACTTTTAAATGTGGGGCGTCCGTTCGGTTGTGAAAGGGGACATTAAATGCGATACCTCTTGTGGAGTCTTATATTCAATACCCGTACAACAACTCTTTGAGGGGTTCTTGTGTGATCAATTGAATATTTCTCCTTTATCTAACATACTCTCATTTTCCAATGGCAGTTGTACTTTCCGCCCTTCATCCTGGACGATCACTTTTCCTAACTATTGCATTTAATTTAATTGTCAATTTTTCTTGTCTTGATATAGTGCAATTTTGAATTGAATAATTCCGCCAAAACATTTCAAAAGAGGAAGTCAAATTTAATGGTTCACCAATTGTAGAAAAAAACATCTAATCGAGGTTTTTTAAACTACACAGAAGCGATATACATATTCAACGTAAACATTCTATTTATAAAAGTCGCAGATTCAGTATAGAGATATATTCATTCAAACGAAAAACATGGAAACTGTCATTGACATGAGGGGTAAGATACTTTTAGTAATGTGTGTGAAAGTTAGATATAATTTGGCATGTATAGTTCTGAAAGAAGTCATATCTTACGTAATGAGTTTGATATAAACCACTGATTTATGTAGCAATGAAATTTAAGACCCCTCGCAGATCTATATAATAGAGAAATATGGAAGTAAATTATGATCGTTATCTTCATGGAAAATAAAATCTTTGTTCACTATATCATGTATATGTTAATATGTTCTGAAATATTAGTTTGTTTACACTGTATTCAGAGCATTTAAAGCATGAATAAGAATTCATAAACATTGAATATCTATCAAGTTACCTGTGTGATTTCAACCGATTATAAAGTACCCCAAACAATGAAAGTATTATGTATCATGTTAATTCAAACCAAACGTCACGTACTATAAACCTGTTTACAATTAGTTTCATGAAATGAACACTATTTGATCATTTTAAAGTTGATTCTTATTTAAAAAAAATATGGTTTTCCATTGGAAACTAAGGAAATTAAATAAATTCAATATAGAGTTTAAAAAGTTCTTTTTCCTGTATATCATCAAAAAACAAAAATGTTTGCTTTTGCTTAAAGTCATGAACATTGATGTGTCCCCCTCCACCAAAATAAAAACAAAAACAAATAAAAAAAATCAATAAAAAAGATTCATTCAAAGAGAGATGATTGGTCGGTGCGTTATGGAAACAGTTCTTCTGATTTTTAGTACTTTGAGAGTTTACAGGACGTCTTGATTTGCAATATAAAGAAGAGCAACAGTAGCGAAACAATGGGGAAAATGATTGAAATGTTCAGCAACAACCGATTAATACTGCATTTGAAACTTAAATACCCTACCATATTAGCTTTACTGCACATACTATTAATTATTTCTGCACATAGTTCTATAAATTTACTAATCGAAAGGTTGACTTGGGTATATAAATATGTTCATCCTTTGCTTTTCTTCAGACCGACAGTAAAACCATTGCAACAGTTGGTCGTTAGTTGATTGTATTCTCGATGTATGAATTCGCAGCCGGTCAGAATGGAGATGTTAAATTCTATGCCTACTGTATAGAGAGAACCCTTGCAACGTTGAGAGATCAGCACATGACCAATTGCAAGGCTAAATTTCTGTCCCGTTCCAATATATCCTTATTTTCTAGTGGCATTTCAAATTTTCCACCCTTTATCCTAACATTCTATGGCAGGACCTACTTATTGAATAAATTATGAATCGGATTCATGCTGAATATGCATGAAACATTGCCACTGGACGTAAAGCAAACAACATCAATCAAACAATCATTAATTTATTGATCCCTAAATTTCGGGGTGGGTCCACTCAATTCTGGAAGACAATCAAGTTCAAGTGGATGATGTGTATGATGATTGTTGTAATTCACAGTTTTGGGTAGTAAAGCTATTTGAACATTTTTTAACAACTGAGCAATAGTTTTAGTTTTGGACAAGACATTTGGTATATAGCTTATTTCATATTATCATGATTATTATTATAATAATTTTCATTCAATAGATATTTTTTCCTTAATATAATTCAAGTTATAAATATCTAATTTGATATAAACTTAATTCGTACAGAGCCAATATCGACTATATCCACTTCATGTGATCAAAACATGAATTAAACTACTATAAACATTGATTGCATTGCTATCGATGTGAACGTAGTAGATGTTTAATAGTCTACGTGTTGGGTACACCAACACCACAATGAGTCTAGCTCAGTGTGAACACGGCCTTACATTGTCAATATAATACTTGCTACAATGCATACACCCTATAACAAGCTACCACTACTGCAGATACAACATTACAACAGGATGTGTGTTCCATTTTGTCATTCAAAACGATTGTTTTGCTATTATATAACCCAGAATATGTATCTTATGCCGTCGTTGTAAAACAGAGGTTTTCACCATCGTGTTCATTAAATTTTGAGCTGTGATACCAATTGTATACGCAGTGCCGATAAACGGTAATAGGGTCTGCTCCCTGTCAAAACAAAACAGATTATGGGTGTGTATACAACACTTGGTTTCCCTTTTTGTTCTCTTGATCTACCACCTCTTTCTATTTTTAATCATCAAATTTACTTTACTTGTAGACAATAACGAGGAAGAATTTTTTGCAAAGATTTCTGAAATTGTATCACTTTTACTAAAGTCTGAAGGAATTTTCACAAGAATGGAAATCGATAAAGCAAGAACACCTTTATATGAAATGCTAATGCATCATTTACATGGTACTGATATTGTATCGACAGGAAGTACTGTGGAAGGGTCTTATATACCTGGTAGCGACGTAGACCGTATGTTTATTGTTCAGAACATGATTGCTATTCTAGATGAAAAAGAGGAAAAAGACTCAGAAAAATGCACATTTCTATTGAACACAAAGCAAGATCAAAGCTGTTTTGTGAAACTTGCTCTTTTAAAATGTCCCCATGAATCCACTTTAAATGTAGAAGTCAGGGATTTCCTTGTAGAAAAGGAAGGTGTGTATTTTCTCTGTAGTGAGAAATACCGTAACTTGAAAATCATCCCAGAAAGTGGAAATTGGTTATCATCCTATGCATCGATGTCAGACTTTCATGAACATGGCCCTTGCTCATCATCTTCGGTAAATTTTGACATTGTCTGTCGAAGTATTGATTTGGACACAACGGAGGGGATACACTGTTCAAAATGGCCAATGGTGGCACTTGAATGGACAAGTCGAGAAAGGTATAGCATATGGCCACCTAAACATCTCATAGAGAAAGCACTGGATTTCCCAGTTCATGTCGTTCCAGTAGGAGATCCAACCTCTGATGAATGTCAGCTCGAATGGAGACTTTCTTTTAGCTATGTCGAACAGGAACTCGTTTGGAGTTTCAATGAAACTCAACTGAACGGTTTTGTTCTACTTAAGACCATATTTAAAGCCTTCTTAGAACCTGTAGCAAAGGACATACTTAGCACTTACCATTTGAAGACTATTGTTTTATGGGTTTGTGAAGGAGGTTCGATAAAGTTGCAGCAAACAAACTTAATACGCCTGCTGAAGCTTTGTCTTCAAATGTTGAAAGAATGCATTTCTCGGAGGACTCTAAAGCATTTCATTGTAAGTAATCATAATTTGTTTTATCATAAATTTGAAAATTCAGATCTACGAGAAGGTCTTGTGAATATAATTGATTGTATTTTATCCAATATAATTTCTGCTTTGCAACAATGTAGATTGCCCTTGGAAGACGTGAAGCTACGGCAGTTTGAAAAAAGTGTACTAGTAATTGTTTCAGGAGAAAATCCTCCAAGTCTGACAAAATTATCACAAATTCAGATAGAATTATCGCAGGAAGCTGACGAATGTATTAGAAATAAAAATAAATTCAGTAAATATGGAGCTGCATTTGGAATAATGATTTCTATGGTTAGAGGATATGTAGAAGGGTCAAAATTAACAGAGATACTCGATATTTTTGACCAGTCTGCATGTGAATTGAATGTAGAAATCGTAGTCGGTTTGAAGATATTTTCAATCATCAGACTAGGAATTTTGTACCATTTGGACTATATCAACATAACGGACCCTAGTCCATTATACTTTGAAGGAGGAATATTCCAGTCAGAATACGTCGACTCTGCCAATCCAGAAGAAAAACACATTAGACTTGAAGCCGCAAGAAGTTCTTTTGATATAGGATGCTCTTTGGATCATTTATCGCGATATCTTTATTAGGCGATGTTTTTATTAGTTCAAAACGATTTGAACAAAATGTTGGAAGGAATAGCGAAAATTTTCGACAAATCTTTGATTCTGAAGTATGAAGGGTTTTGTTCTGCAAACAAAAATGTAAAAATTTCCGATGGAGAAATATCAATTACAAATTATGTTCCAGATATCTGCGATGATAAAATTCCTGGTCCCGTGTGCTACGATATTATTTTAACAGGCCATGATGTCCGATGTGTATTGAAAGCTGTAAAATTTGAATGTGAACTTAACGACTACGATGAAGCAAGTTTTTATTTCTTATATCACCCAGCGGTCTTTTATTATTTTCTGGCTTTTCAACTACATCAGCGACTAAACGACAAGAAAAACAAGTTTAAAACACTAGGGCAGTTGGAAAAAATAACAAAAATAGTGAAAGACGAAAACGATGGTTATCGTGCGCTTAATCTTGTCGGGTATTGTTTCAACGAAGTATGAGATGAAGAGAGGGCGTTTTCAACTTTCAGGTTATCTCTTCAAACGAAAAATAGTGCCTACAATGCAGCCACCTACCATCTTTGTTTGATGGTAATGAAACATTTACCAGAAACATACTTGTATCAGCAAAATGTTTGATGTTCAACGGTTCATATCAAAATGTGTAGATTTGAACGACTTCTATTATTTTTAATCTGTTTATATATTAATTAAAAGAGTTATAGGGTTCAATTCCATGAATACATCAATCAAGAGAAAACATAAAGGCAGAATGAAAGCAGACAAAACTTGCTCCCCCTTCTTGTAGAAAAAAGGATAGAAACTCATCCTTTTCGTGCCTGTAAGCACATAAGGCCTTAACCAGTCCCCGCCACATTTGTCTGTCTTTTACCTTTTTACCTCAATCTCCTTCCAGGTCTTCCCAAGGCTTTTCATCTCATCTCATCTTTTTACCATTCTATGCAAGGTATCTTTTGACATCCCTCTTTTTCGTCTACCATCAGGTGTCCATCGTAAAGCAATCTTGGTTATATCCTCATCTCCTCAATACATGACCAATCCAACACCATCTCTTCATTTAAATCTCCGTCTCTATAAAACACTGATTGGTTTTGTGGTACAGGTTGGTTATTTTATTGGACCAGAAGATCTTACAGATTTTTCTCAAGCAGTTGTTATGAAATGAGGAAATCCTTTTCATGTCTGATTGGAGAATTCTCCAGCATTCTGTCCCATATAGATAAACTTCATTATAAAAGGGATTGAAATTGAATAAGAAAAGAGGAAACAAGAAAAGCTGGAGTTTTAACCAGTTCGTGAAAATTGTATAATATTTAATGATTCAACTATAATACTTTAATTATTTCCTCAAATATTTAGTGTGCAATCGATTTTAAAATATTTATTTTTAATATTTTTAACACAGGACGTACATACATGAATTTTACATGTCAATAATATCACAAAATCAAAATAGAAGTGCAACTGTAAGGTAAAGTTTAATTTTTAATAGCGATTTTATGTGAGCTTCATATAGAAACGAAAGTTATGATTAGGGAACTATCAGGACAGAGTAGAAAAAGACACAATTTCTAACCAGAATGGCAGATATATATTCAATGCATTTTATTTTTATCTGTTCTACACACGGTTCGTTTCTTGCTCACTTCAACTTAAATTTGTTTTCCCAATAGAACAAATGGCGTTATGCTAAGCATATCAAATAGACTTTGATGAATGATAGATGTTTGCATTCTCGACAAGATACATGTATTATGCCATATGCAAAAAATATTTTAGTTGAAATGAAAGAAATTGCAAGTAGAAACAGGAGAAAGACATGATAAAATTTCAAGCATTTAAATTTCAGGAAAAACCTTGATTGCAATATGCGACCAAAAACGCTATGTAAACAACACTATACACAAACGAAAAGAAATGTTCTGTAGCCAACAGTACTTTAACATACGAATGGAAATATTCTGTTACTGATAATATAAACACGCGATCCATATTTTGTTACCAATCATATTCCATCCATGGACACAGCAATGTTTTTGGTTTAGGGGTTTCGGCTAAATGTTTTGTATGCTTAAAACTTTATTATTAAAATTAAACCAAAAGACGGGTCACTCGATATATAATAAAAAGTCATGACTTCAAAACTAATTATTTGCTTACTTAAAATATATTATCAGAGGTTAGTTTATATTATCAATTATATCACAACTATGTATATGCAAAGATTCTAGCTTTTGGGCAACAAAGAAAAAATAATAAAAAATCTTTAAATTTTAACTTTTTGTGGTTCTACACCTTTAATAATTTTTTCCAGAATCAGCAACACACAATGAATCAATAGCTCTGTACCATTATATATGCCAGAACATTGTTGGATATGAGGAACATGTAAATACACTCAGAATGATGAACACTGTCAAAGACAATTTACAAAGCGACGAGAACTGGACAACAATCACTAGTGGAAGCTTTGGAGAGGGACTTGAAATGAGAGTTAGTGATTTAGATATACTGAAGGCTTTTACATTTATTGAGGTTTGTGAAGAAATTTTTTCCAGAATCAGCAACACACAATGAATCAATAGCTCTGTACCATTATATATGCCAGAACATTGTTGGATATGAGGAACATGTAAATACACTCAGAATGATGAACACTGTCAAAGACAATTTACAAAGCGACGAGAACTGGACAACAATCACTAGTGGAAGCTTTGGAGAGGGACTTGAAATGAGAGTTAGTGATTTAGATATACTGAAGGCTTTTACATTTATTGAGGTTTGTGAAGACACACACATTGATTTAAATCCCGATAAAGTACATTTTGAAATGGGAATGGAAGATACACATCTCGGTTTTACTAAGTTACGTCTAGTGTTCAGAATTTACCAGGTTATATTAATATGTGATGAGATAGGTAGTAGTTTCTACTTGTCAAACTCTTCATTCAAACAACATTTTTCAAATAACGCCTTGTCTACTGTGCATGGGCCAAGTGTATCCGACAAATATGGATATCTTGACATTGCATACTGTTTACATAGTAACTTTTGGATAACACCAGCAAAACAATAGATAACACGATCAGATAATTCATGGCCTACATACTATGTTAAACAGGATATCGTTAAACATGGCTTTCTTTTTATACCTGTTGGTGTAAAAGGATCTACAAAAGAAGAATTAGAATGGCGCATATCATTTTCCGTAGGAGAAAAACTTCTTGTTTATTCATTTACACATACACAATTACTGTGTTATGCACTTATGAAAATTCTTCTAAAAGACATAGCTTTAGACATAGATTGTAAAGAATTGCTTTGTTCATATTTCATGAAAACAATTTTGCTTTGGATATGTGAAGAGTCACCTTCATCAATATGGAAACTCGAAAACTTGATATCTTGCTACATGAGATGTTTCAGGAGGCTTATATATTGTGTTAGTACACTGTTTGTCTGCATTATTTCATTCCTGAGATTAATTGATTTGAGAACAAGATTCCAAGGCATGCACAGAAAACACTTTGAATAAGTTGTATATTCTAAACAGTTACGGTTGGCAATGTATCTGATTGTCAGACCAAATCTATAAGTTCCATGCATTGGGTTTTGATGTAAGTAAGGAGTCAATTCATTCACATGTCGACAGTGTTAAAAATATTAAGCTCGAGTTCGTTAATCACAATCACTTTACTTTTGAATTTTGATTTTCTTTTGGAAAAAGCGATCTACAAGGTATTATCCATTAAGAGTTCAAAAAGAATTTTACACATACTCCATGTCAACATTTTGTACCAAATATGACCAATTATTATCATTTGAGAATACTTCCGGTAGTAAATCTGTTTATAAATAGTGCAATAATTGTACAAGTATTTTTCTACTGAACACACGTCATGACGCTGTATCTGGATGGCTCATGTTAGCGTCGTTTTTCTACAGGAGTAAACAATACAATACAGCTCTAAACATAGTCCAGTATTCTCTAATAAAATGCTCACCGGAAAAACTTCATACTAACATGACTTTTTCAGATATACATTATGAGCTATTTAATATACATTTATTTTGGAATATGACTATTGTTCAGTTGTGGAGATTGTTTGTTATTAGATTTGGTAATAGTTGATGAACATTCTATATCGTTAATACCGGATGAATTACAAAGGGAAGTAAAATTACCAATACTTCCAGTAATATATGCTCATTTACTTTGTTTTCTGTGTCATTTTCATCTTAAAAATAGCAGCCAGTACTGGCATTCCTTACGGAATCTAGAGTTGACTATAGAGGACACACATTTTGTAGCTACTCGCGCGTTGAAATTAGAATGTTACACCTTCCTAGGTATAGGTTTTCAATTAGTAGGAGACACCGAATCAGCGAGACAAGCGTTTATCCAATCTACAGAATTATTTCCTGATCAAGAGAATTACATAGCATTCAAAATGTTGTCATTAATAAGCTGAATTGATTATTGTTATGTGTATCAACTTGTGTATACACATATAAGTCATATGTTTCTATGTTATTTTTGATAAGCAGTCTCATTAACAAATTAATTTATACTTACTGAATGTCTTTATGTTTGGAAATTAAAACAAAATATTGGTTTGATAAGTTTTCAAGATAAATAAATTTATATGCAATTTGTACATTTTCCCTTTGATCTTACTGGCTTATATTTTTAATATCATGGACAGGACTTTATACCCGAAAATATGAGGCAATGACGTCATGGATTAGTACAGCAACGTCGATTGTTCAAATCCTTCCGCGTCAATTTATCAATGAAATGAACGCGACATTATTCATACAACCGAACAACTATCCAACCGATTTGATTTTGTAAAAGTAGTTTTAAGAACTTTTTCATTTTAATTCATATTCTCAACAACAACAAAAATACAGTTATATCAAATTGCAGATAAACAGAATAATTACAATTTATTTTTTGAAACTGACTTCATCAGCTCGCCCTAGCGATCTGGCTTGATATTCTTGCTGATTATGTCAGTATTAAAAACATGATGATGATGATAGAAAACGATAGGTCACAAAAATTAAGAAATAGAATAATGGTGTTTTTAAATATAAAGAATAGTGGGCAAAAAAGCTAAAGGTTAGAGCAGCATGATTTATAAGATTAAAGAATAAAGAACCCCCTATCCAGACCCTCTTTGATACGGCCCTTTTTCTGTAATCTAATTTGGATTTTTAGGTATTTATAATACATAAAAAGGTAAATGTAATCACACAAAATACTGGACAGTATACCATGCCACACCAACCACAAACATATGACTCGTCCGAGAGAGAAAAAAACTGACGTACAAACAACGACAAGAATGTATGATTGGTACTGGTACAAAATAAGACGGGGATAAACCAGTTTTACGAACTTATTAAACACACTTTGTCTATCTAGAATATATATGTGGTTTGGATTTTACATGTTTTATGCATCCCGCTATCGAGTTTTTTTTTACCTTATGTGTTCCTGGTGTAGGTGGGTTCTGGGGTGCGATTCGGACGAATAAAGGCATGTGAAGAATATGTCGTAATGGTTGAAAAAATGTTTTTAGGTAAAAACAGGAGGGCATTTTTTGGAACATTAAGATAAAAAAAAAGGTATATAAAGGAAAGGATTATCAAATTTTGATCGCCATTTCAGGAAGCTAGCTTAGACAAATACATGTGTTGGTTAGATACTGTCGCTCAAGAAAATCACAACAAGAAACAAATAAGCACTCTAATGGATGTCGATATTTCTCTAAAAAAATATTTAAATTGACAGTATTTGAGAGGCCTGTTAACTTTTTGAATTGTCATATTATCGGACAAAAGATCAATTTTAACTCAATTGTTGAGTTTATCTCGCATGTAGTCATTGGTGTTGAAGGAAACTTCCCAGAGTTTTAGATATATCATTTCTCAGTGTTTTAGTTCTACAAAAGACATTACAATAAAAGGTAGGATGAGAAATACAGTCTTAATACTATTTTTTGGCGGGAAACACCTCTAAACAGATAAGTTGCATTTATCGACCGCAAAAAAATAATCAGCGAAAGTATTTAAAAGTTTATGGTATCTGTAGCATTATAAAAGTTACGTTCATTACAAAAGTATAACAAACAAATAATACCGACCTCAAGGTATAATAAAAAAAGGGAAGTCCATACAAACTGACAAAATCAAACGTTATAAACCAACGGAACGAGTGAAAACAAACCTGTCATATTCATTACCTGGCACATGCATTTTCCGAAGAAATTGGTGGGCTTAGTCTGATTTTATCGCTAACTAAATGTCTCACTTAAAGGACAGTTATTTATTTTTCCATTATGTTGACAAAATTGGGTGAGCAACCAAAACAGACATAATAGGTGAATGTGATAATAATTGGGATCCAGCAGCCACAACTGTGTAAACATATATCACAGGCATACAACATAACTGACTAGAAAATTCAAGTAAACATACTAATTAATCTGGCAAAGACGTTTTTTGACCAAGACGCCGATAAAACAAGTTTTTGTAGTTAACGGTACATAATGTATATAGCATACACTCTTTCGCTAAAATAGTATTAATAAAATATATATACAAGGATAAACAAAATGAGAATAACACAGAAAAAAACTCATTCGTCCGAATCGCACCCCAGAACCCACCTACACCAGGAACACATAAGGTAAAAAAAACTCGATAGCGGGATGCATAAAACATGTAAAATCCAAACCACGTGAAAAGTCTCACAACCAAACAAAACATAATAGCACAAAGACAAACAAAGGGGGCGGTCAATAAAATGATACACAAAAAGCATCACCTTCAAAACAAAAGGAACTTTGTAATGTCTAAGTTATTAAAGCTAGTTTTTCTTTACGAATATATCTAGTTTTCCTTCTTTTCCTTTTTTTTACTAATATGGGTATGCAAAACAAAAATATTATATTTTATGAAATGTTTCTACTATTCTATTCTGTGGACCTTTCATAGATTAATACCCGATGAATAGTTTTGCTATAATACGTCTAGAACTTTTTTTCGGCGCTATGAATTTGCAACCACTGATATTTCATTAGCACCACATCATGTTACATTTTGAAATACATGTATTTCGATTGCGCCAAAAATACAGGTAATTTGTATTCTATGTCAAACAAGATCATGACAATCCCTAGTGTCAGCTGCTCTAGTTAATTGTGTCCTAAGCGTTTTTCCTAGATTAACCCTCGATCGGGAATACTAAAACATAAAAACGTTGAAGGACAAGGATTATGTTATTTGTAAAGTACATGAACATGTGAGGCGATATATGACCGAAAAGGACCGATAAATAATATGAAAGATCTATCTAAGGTCAGCCCTGTCTGAGGAGTTGGAATTCTGTAGCTGCGTTGACATCATTTTTATTATAACTTTGTATACAGTTTTATAAGGAAACAAGTTAACCATGAGGTATCACCTCCTGAACAAAAAATCTATAAATAAAAATTAATAAAGATCATACATCTATCATTGGGATCCATTTATACCGTATCCTCATGCATTGAATTAGAATATCAAAATAAAGGCATGTGAAGATTTTCTAAAAATTGTTTGTTATTTCACAATGATATCATACTTTGACATTGTTTAAACCTGTTTATTAACTCTTGACTTTAATTATTTATCCCTTGTAATTTTTTATTAACTGTGTATTTGCATTCAGGTGTCACAGGTCAAATTTATTCGTTCATTGTGTTTTAATTTACGTTTTTTGATTGAGTTAAGCCTTCCAATTGATATTTTATAGTGTGTTTTTCTATGTTGTGATGTTATACTATTGTTTCAGAAAAGGGAGAAGGTTTGGTACCATTAAAACGTTTAATCCCGCTGCAAATGTTTGCACCTGTCCTAAGTCAGGAATCTGATTACAGTTGTTGTCGTCTGTTTATTTAGTTCATACGTGTTTCTGGTTTCTCGTTTTTATATAGATTAGACCGTTGGTTTTTCCGTTTCAATGGTTTTACACTAGTAATTTTTGGGGGCCCTTTATAGCTTGCTGTTCGGTATGAGCCAATGCTCCGTGTTGAAGGCCGTACCTTGACCTATAATGGTTTACTTTTATAAATTGTAACTTGGATGGAGAGTTGTCTCATTGGCACTCATACCACATCTTCCTATATCTATATAATGTCGTCAGTATAAAGTGTGATGTTCACCATGTGCATGATGTGTTGTTTGTAAATAGCACCAATACATACAGAATAACCACATATTGTCTCAAACACTTGCTTTGGAATAACATTTATTTTTGCAAGGCTTAGAAACCGGTAGAGTAGGGTTAGCATATTAATTCTTTCATGTTTCTAGCCGAGTCTAAACTAAATTCATATTTCGAGACAATGTATTGTGATTCTCTTCAGACTGAACTTGTCCAAATTAATATATTTTGGTTAAACCAACTTTTTAGAATTTGATGTAAAAATAATGCTCCTGTATTCTTTAATTAGCGTCATAAAAAAAACTTATACGGAAGCTTATAATCAACGTCAGAAAAAAGACATTATATGGTTAGCGGCTGTATGTTACAAATATTTATACTGGCAATGTGATTTAACAAGAAAAATTGCAACTTTACATACAAAAGGAGTGTAAACATAGGGGACTGTAATTTAAAATGGTCTCAGACCTATGATAAATCAAGAGCAATGGAGTTTTCATTCAAGTTGCAAATTCATCAATTTTATAATTTTCTTAACTGTGAAGAAAACGATAGCGTCCTAATTAGGATATGAACCCTCGTTACTATGATTCTCAAATGTTCTATCATCATACCAACTTTTGCTATTAAAAACTTACATGCACTCATGTTCTGGTGCAGTCTTTAATTGAAAAATTCCGCCAAAATAACTTAAAGGAGGAAGTTAAATTTTACAATTCAATTTGATAATTCAATCGGAGCATAGTCAAAATATGTGGTCTACACAAATCAAACTGATTCAGAGATATATAATACTTAAACAAATACATGGAACCTGACAGGGGTAAGATTTTTTGTATAATGTAACACAAAATGATGAGAATTCAAATGCATCTGAGTTCTTCATGCCTATTAGAAAAAATACATAAGAAATAAACATATGCAACACAAAATAGTGTACGCAACACCCTTGACAACCATATATTTAAACCTCTAATGACAACATTCGTGTGATTTAATCAGAAAAATTGGTTTATCACTAAACAGATTTAAAAATTATGAAAGTATTATCCTGTTTCAAAATTAACACAGGTAACATGTGAGGAAGATAAACATATTTGTAATGTCATAATTACCAAAAATTAAATGTTTCTTGTTACACCTAAATATAATTTCCTTCTATTATAAAGTCTGACAAAAGAATTATGTCAAGGTGTGAAAATACAACTGAATCTAAAATACTATTCAATAAAAGTTGTATTCCAGGGTAGAGTAAACCAGTTGTGTCTAATGAATCAAAGCCGTTTAATTTGATAATTAAGGAATATTATTTTAAGACGTTTGCACGACGCTCGAAAGACGTTCTAGTAGAATTGTGTATTCAGTACACTTACTTTAAGAATCAATGCAGTAAATGATTATACTAAACAAACCATATACATAGTTTAAAGTACAAAGATTGCGTTGACTAAAGAAATACAATAAGGATATTTTTAAACCGTATCGCAACTGTTTTGTTGTATTCTTTCACTAGCATTTTAACATAGGTCAATAGACTAAGTGTGATTAACCATATTATTTAATTCAAACTCTTTGAATTAGCATGAATGATATGGCTAGGCTTTACAATAGAATAAATTTAACTTGTGCTTCCTAGTCTCTCCATAATAAATAATTGTATGTTCTATCATTTCCGATACGTTTCATGTATTGGTTTGATATAATCATAGCAATTATCCGTGCATATGTCATAACAGAACCTATCAATGAATTGATAATAGTTAAATGTGAATTTTTATTTTTATTCTGTTTGTGCATATTCTCGACACATATATTTCCTTTGAGTTATTTACTAATTAAACAAATTAAATAGGCCTATTAAGCAAACTCAAATATGTTCCAAGAATGTAAACTGAAGATGTTTTTAATCTTTAATTCAAGCTTTGGTAATTTCAATCGTCTTAACGTTAAATTTGCAAAGAAGAGTTAATTCTACAACATTATTCAATACGAAAGCTAAATATTAGCAAAACTGGTCCGATTAATTAGTTAATAACGTGTATCATTTCAGTGTGTGTGTGTGTGTGTGTGTGATGCAAGGTTACAAATTCTTTACAAACAGTTGTAATAACTGTACCACTTCTCCCCACAATTCCCTGTAATAAATGGAATGTTCAGTAGCACTTTAAGAACGTGCTTATTTTAAACTCACAACATCATTTAACATTGTATGATTCCTTGCAAATAATAGAAAAAATAGAACTATCAGTGAAGTAATCAAATTTTTAAGCACAACATGTACTTAATCGGGAATTAATCTCACAATTATATAGATATTGCACGTCTCCGATAGTAGGAAGTATTATGTTTTCTGGTCCGTCCGTTCGGTTGTTATTCCACTCGCCCGTTCAGTATCAGATACCAGTTTCTGTTCAAGGTTTCAAGTAGTTTACCATACCTTTGTGTTCATATCAAATGAACACATAGTAGACATGTTCATTATGTATGGAACTTAATTATATGCCAGTTAATGTTTTAACCCTGATTTCTTGGTTTACAAGATATGGGATAGTGTGGGCAGGGCATGGTACAATATGGACACATATTCTTGTTCTTGATATTTTATAAAGCTGTTGATGTTATATGGTAATCATGTTTTATTTCATGAAGAAAATGAAATACTGTGAATCTTTCAGAATGAAGTGAGATGGCTACAAAAAATGCGGTGAATTTGATAACTGAGCTGGAACGTCGATATTTAGAGTGTAACATATGCACAGAGTTGTTTGACGAAGATGAGCGTATACCAAGGTTGCTTCCTTGTCATCATTCATTTTGTTCAGAATGCTTAAAAAGACTCGGTCGCCGAAAAGATCAAATTAAATGTCCAACTTGTAACGCTGTGCATAAAGTGAAGAAAAATGGGCCTATGGATTTTCCAAAGGATAACACAAGACGGGATTTGACGTCATTTTTGCAGGTTCATTCCGATCTAAATGCTTTCAAAAAATGCTGCCTATGTGGAAATACCGCGGATGTTACCTATAAATGTCAGCAGTGCATTTTAAATCTATGTGAGATTTGTCGCTGTCAGCACGAAAAAGAAAATAAAACGCACAACTCAGTTGTTAACAAATCTGAGATATTACAAGAGGAAGATCTTGATGTTTGTCAGAATCCTCAACATGAAAGGGCAAGACTCAAACATTTCTGCAATTCTTCGAATTGTCAAAGTGTTCTTTGTCCATCTTGTGCGCTGGATGAACACAGAGATATCAATGAACATGATCTTGAAGACATTGCAGATGCTTTCAAAAAGAGAAAAAGAGAATTAGGAGATGACGTGAAGTCTCTTCGAATACGAATGTCAGGTGTCGAATTGCTAGTGGAAAAAGTTCTCAACAATACTCATACACGAAAAAATAAGAAGAATGATTTTTGCAGAAACGTAGATGATATGTATAATAGAGGAATTAATGTTTTACAAAACAGAAAACAAAGACTTCTTGATGAATATAACTTTGCATTCCAGAGGGAAGACTCGAAATCAGTTATAAGAAAAGCTAACTTAGACACTTTTCTACAAAATGCAAATGAATGTTGTAGCCTCTCAGAACAATTGATAAACCGGAATAGCATGAGCTCCTTCTTGAATGTTTACCAAACAATAAATGTCCATGTGAAACGATACTTACATACCCCAGTTGAAGATTCAACTGGCGACGAAATAAAAATCGAGAAAAAGATGAATTTTGAGAATAATCTGGAATTATTCAAGAGAAATGTTGAAAATCTAGAAAAATTTGAGGCAGACGACGAAGATATGCAAACGTTGATCAACCAGGACCAAGGTAGATTACTTTTAAAACTTTATAATTCTTATATGATTTACATATCTATGGATACTTGAATTGGATAGGTCAATTAGAACTTTTCTCTTGGTTTACACTTCGATAAACCATGTTTCAGAAACTACTTTCGTAATCTATTCATGCCTGCAGGGATCCCGGGATTTTCAGCAAATTTAGATTAAAAAACAAATACATAACAGTTGTTTCTATTCTAATGCATATATAACAAAAAAGAAAAAATGCATTAAAGCTTCGAAAATGTATAAAATTAAAATTTAAACAAAATTCCGCGAAATTTCGTGAATGATTTAGCGAATTTACGTCATGGCAAAACACGACGCCATACGAATGAAAACTTTCAAGGGAAAGATTATTGCGTTACTTGTACCCTTCAAATTCGGATAATATCTCATTAAAATGAAGTTCTTGAGGTAGGTGCTTTTTTATTTTAGATTCTGTTGCATTTATCAAACATTTATGGATTTTAGAAAGTCAATATGGCGGCCAATTCCTTAGTTACGACCTGTCAATTGTGCATTTGATGGTAATTATAGTAGCCATTACACAAAAAAATGTTAATTAAAAATCGCGAATATTTGGCTTAAGAATTATAAGGATTAAACACATTTTTTCTAGAGGTTATTGATGTGTAAACCGGGGCTCTTACTCACAAACTTTACATAAAAGTCAATCGCCCCGGTTTACACATCAATAACCTCTACAAAAAATGTGTTTTATCCTATAATATTTGCCCTCTTATCATTAATGAAAAGATGCCCTGCTCAATTCTTTACAGATAGCTTATGATGCATCTGATGAAACAAAATTAACTATTTTGAAGAGTCTATAATCAAAAAGTAAAATAACAAAAATACCGAACTCAGAGGAAAATTCAAAACGGAAAGTCCCTTATCAAACGGCAAAATCAAAAGCTGAAACACATCAAACGAATGGATAACAACTGTCATATTCCTGACTTGATACAGGCATTTTCTTAGAAAATGGTTGATTAAACCTGGTTTTAAAGCTAGCTTAACCTCTGACTTGTATGACAGTAAAATTCTATTATATTGACAACGGTATGTGAACAAGACAAAAAGACATAATAGGTAAAAATGTCAAAAATAGGGGTACAGCAGTCAACATTGTGTTATAATCTTTGCCACTATAAAAACAAACAAATATGTAACAAAGAAACACAAAAAGACATATAGACAAAGCACATTATTAAAAATGAAAGACAAGAACACACAAATTTACCATAGCACAATAACACAATGACGGGATGTATAAGTACAGAGCCATGTCGAATGGATATCACCAAAAACATACTAACAGTAAAAGTAATATTCATAAAGACAAATAAAAGAATACTATAACACGTAATTAAGATGATAAACAACGTCAGTACCCAGAATCTATACTTCTGGACCATCGTGTATTATTTGTAAAGTTGGAACGGAATATTTATCAAGGTCTTGGTACCTCCCGATGTTCTTTTTTAGAAAAAGGACGAGACATTTCTAAGAACTTCCGCAGTATGATGCTCTCATACTACACTGTACGTGTTTTTTGAAAGTGCAAACTAACTTTATACAGTAGTTTACTCTCCAACGCATGACTGTGAGAGAGTTCAGGTAAAATAAAAGATAAACTGAAAAGTAATTTTCTAAAATTTTCCAAGCATAATAGACCTGCCGAATGTAAAAGGGGTCGGAATCTACCTATTTTCTAATTCATCCAAAATGATTAGATGACTACTAATAGGACTTAATCTTTGTTTGCTTTTTATTTTGGATTTGGACTAAGTCTAGGTTGTATGTATGGATCATTTTGTAACGTTAATTGAATAGACAGAAACTACAAATATATTCGACTAACATAGTCAACATACCATTATCATAGAGGAAAAGTTCTAGTTTCTTTTGTCTTTTCTGTTCACTTGCCTAGCCCGCAACAAAGGAAATAAATCGACAAAAATAAGAGCATAACGTTTTCTCGCACAAGTATTAACGATATAAATAACTGTATTGTACTTCGTTTTTGCAAATGAGATTATGAAATTCTCTATAAAAAAAAGAAGATGTGGTATGAGTGCTAATTAAAAAGTTTTTCCACCAGAGACCAAATGGCACAGAAGCTAACAACGATATGTCCTCGTACGGCCTTCAACAATGAACAAAACCTATACCGCATAGTAAGTTATAAAAATCCCCGTAGTGACTAAAGTAAAACAATTCTAACGAAAAAACTGACGGGCTGATTTATGTCGGTAAGGTATCATATTATACTTTCATTTTGTTGAAAATTAGTAAATTTAAATAGAATGGTTGATATCAAGTTAAAATTAAACAAAAGAAATGGAACTCTTTATTCATGTTATTATGGAGGAGGTAAACATCGTCAGGCTGGTATATTTGAATTGTTTACACCTGTTTCTATATGATTGAAAAATTAAATGCAGGTGCATAATTTAGTTTTGTTTGTATCTTATATACGTGTGTATACTTGAAATACGGTACGGGTATGAAGCATTGAGACATTTGTGAACTTTTAGATTATTGACATTTTTCACAAAACAGTAGATTATGCTAGGTGCATAAACATGCGAATCTTAATTGCGCATAAGCATAAACTCCGCCTACAAAAAAAAAAAACGCACAAAAAGAAAATCTTTGTAAAGCATTATTTGCATTTCTGTCCAAGGCAACAATTGTTTTTTGAAAAACAAATCCTAAAAATAGGCAATAATCTCATCGAAAACAGAGAGTCAGTAATTATACCTTTTTATGTTCAGGCGTGTTTGGGTTGACTGTTTTGTCTTCAAAACTTATAAAGCAAACCTATTGGATAAATCATCTCACATCATATTCCATTATTGTTTTTGTATTCAACCTACATGTAAACTTAACAACCTTAAAAATTCACATTACCAAGTGAAATACCTTTGTAATGAGTCAAAAGAACAGAGAAGAACGATGTGTTTGAATAAGAAAACAAACAATTTTCGTGCCACTATAAATGATACAATTTGAGATGTTTTTCCCAATTTTCTAACTTGTCTTCTATTTAATTTTCGTTCACTTATTTGTCATATAAATTTCAGTCAAATTATTTATTTTATTCATTTACTAAAAAAACAGTAATTCCGACTAACTGTTCACTATTTTTGCTGGAAAACATTGACGACAGCATAACCTTATGCATAACTTATAGGTTACACTTTGTAAATACAGCTGTTTCTCAAACCACGCCTCTTTTGGGGAGCTATATAATATTCATAGATAACTTGATTTGTTTACGTACTGGTTCCCGGATATGATATCTATGTTTCATCTCATAGAGACATAACTTGGGACTATTACCAGTATAAAAATATAATGATGCGGTGAAAATTAAACTTTTTTTAACACTTGAAAATCCTTCCTGACAACCAATCTGACGACAGTTTTAAGTTATCAAAAGGCATAACAGTTCATTAAATGGTGATAATTAAAGGGATATTAGGTACGATTTAGACAAAAATTGAGAATACTATTCTTTTTGTTTCAAGTACTACTTAAAGTGGAATTTTGAAATACTATTTCGCAATAAGCCGCCAGTTTTGCCCAAATTTGTCAAAATAAGCTCAAAAACATTGTTGATGTATTCTTGACTTGCAAGTGAATTAACCTCATTTAATCCATATTGATGTAACCTTTACTTTAACCCCTTAACTTAAGATAGGTTAAACATGTTCTATGCGTGTTCAGATACTTAACGAAAAAGAATGTCAACATTGAAAGTGAAACAAGGGTGAACCATTTGATTGACTGATTCGATCCATAAAAAAGTCATTCTTATACAGGTTAACCTTATTTATATAATCTTTAATATGAAATCAAACAAAACTAGAAAAAATCTTATTGCATATACTCACCATCAATTTATATTCATATTTATGTTTTATATAGGGTTATATAACGGTCGGCAGTATTTGCCTTGATAAGCATGATTGCAAACAAACAGTACTGACTATTAAGATGCATTTTCAGGGAACCAAAACGGTATACAACCTGATCAAGAAATCCCAATCGAAAGACCAATGCATCAAGATGTCAGACATGCGGACAGGGATGTGAGAAACAACAAACAAGCTGATGATGGGCGAAGTCTTGAACGGAAACTTCATATACTAGGACATGTGTTAGGATTAAGAAACGCATTATGGAAAAGCATACTGTGTCTTTTTATAATCCTAGTTATACATCATATATCAGTGCTACCGCTTGTTATAAAAGTATATGGCAACCGTAAGTATACAGATGTGTACAGTACATAATGTTTCTTGTTTGTTTAACTTGTTTTTTTTCTCTCATTAATCTTCATATATTGTTTAAGGTAGCTGGGTTGTCTTCCTCCATCTTGAATTTTGAAATAGCAAATAACAATCGGTCTAGATCTTTAATGAGATGTGCAAATTTCAAGAGTAGTATGTAATTCATGTGCAATACTTTTCATGTAAATAAAAAAAATTATATGTTTTATCATATTTACTGCTGTTGTGAATTTAGCAAGAAAACGAGTCCAGTGACCCATTTTTTTAAAATTTTTTTCTTATCTGAAATTATTAGAGCTATTAGACCCATACTTTTTATTACAATTTTGACAAAAGAATGATAAAAACTACATTTTGACAAATTATTAAACAAATCTATGGATTTTAACTTAGACCCCATCTACCTTAAGTAATTGTATCACAATAACGATAAAACATTGATTGACTTAGTTCAATGTAAGGTCAAAGAGCCATTCCATTGACTCAATGAGTCATGTCAACCATAAACATTATATTTATTTTGTTTTCTCGTTACAATTCAATGGAGTTGACCTATGAATAACTCACGATAACTTTCCATCATTCAATTAAACATAATATTTGCTAACCGCTTCACTGATCATCCTGTACCGCTCAATTTCCGAATTACGGAGGTTTTACATTGTTTAACATTGTTATGCCGGCAATTTACCGTATCCTAGAAACAACAGGGAATTGCTATTGTTTTTGTAGTTTTAACAGTAGCTCTATTCGATTTTTTTTGTTAACTAGTCTGCGTTCATGTTAAATTTGTAGACATTTTTTTCCACATGTTTATTTTATGACAAATATTCAATAAGTGTTCAATCTTCTTATCATATCATGGTGCACAGAGTGTAGTTTTTACAACCATTCCCTTTTGCAATAATTTATAACAGTTTTTCAAGCGGTACTGTACCTTTTTTCCGTTGTTGTTTTGAAAGTTATGCATTGTTTTCTTCCAAATTCTATTTGTCTGTTTCTAAGTGATTTGATGACGTGTCTGCGTTCAAGTTAAATTTAGAGACAATTTTTTTTTCTTATATAATTAGTATGGTTTTATTACATCTTCTTATACAAGTACAAGGAAAAAGAACCATACTTTGCAAAAAAACTTTTTCCCCAGTCTAAGCCCCTCCCACATGTTTATTCTATGACAAATATTCAATAAGTGTTCACTCTTCTTATCATATCATGGTGCACAGAGTGTAGTTTTTACAAACATTCCCTTTTGCAAAAATTTATAACAGTTTATCAAGCGGTACTGTACCTTTTTCCGTTGTTGTTGTGAAAGTTATGCATTGTTTTCTTCCAAATTCTATTTGTCTGATTCTAAGTGATTTGATGACGTAAATTCTCTCAAACAAAGGATCAATAAAAACATAGGACGCCATTGCAGTTTAGATTCTCATAGGCAAATTAAAAATGTGACTTTCACGCATATAGACATTTCAAGAAGACATGAGATACATGAAGCGTGCTATATTTCTTTTTTAAAGATGGCTGTTTTTAACAAATGCTTACACAAATGAAGACAAATCAATATTTTGGTGCACGAAAGCAGAGCTTGAGCCAGACTATCATTCAGATACTTTCAAGATTTTCAAGTTTTATTAAAATCTATAAATATAAATGTAATTCAACGTCGAAGATTGTAGTTGAAATACATTTGAGTACAATATTTCAAATTTTACACGTTTTTGTAAAATTTGCATCAAACGATATGCAAAATCGAAATGATTTTTTTTTATATGGAGGACGGTAAATAGATTTGCTGCTGACAACGTCTTACTCTAAGTTGGTGTGCATGAACGTTCAATTTCAACCACTATTTCGCACTAAAATAAGGCTTAATTGTGTAAACATTCCTTTTTTCGTATAAATGCTAAAACTTTTCCAAAATCTTTAGAATTCATGATTTGATAAAAAGTTCAGTAATGCGTGATTAAGTTGTAAAAGAGAGGCGAAAGATATCAAAGAAACATTCAATCTCGTAAGTGGAAAACAAATTGACAACTTTAGATAAAACACTACAAAAGATGAAAGGATAAACAACAGTATACAATACACAAATCAGAAGATAGGAAACTAATGACTGAGCATCCGAACCCCACCGAAAACCGGGGGTGATCTCATATACTCCAGAAGGGTAAGCAGATCCTGCTTCACATGTGGCACCGTTGTGTTGATCATGTAAGTACAAACCCGGGAATACATGAAGCTACGTTAATGTATATAAGCCAAAATTTTATTGTCCATAAATCCAAAACATTTTGCTCTATTTCTTTGAATTGAATTCATAAGTCGAAAAACTGTGTGAATGACCGACCAATTAAAGTCCGTTTTCAGAGATAGAGAAGTATGTCTTATCATCTCTTCACGATAAATATGTCGTTGTTCCTGCGGACAAAGCTTCCAATAATAGTGTTTTTGTATTTTAATCGTACTACTACGAGTGTCTTAAAAAAAGAGTTAGGAATAAATGAGTACTCCGGTCACCCCACATACAAAAGCATATCATTAAGCAATCATTCATTTATAGTGGAAAAGTGTCTAATAACCATTCTTTTTCTTTTTATATTTAACCTTTACTATTTAGCCCATTTTCGGTAATAAACTTTTGGCGTGGCTATATGTTGATACATCCCGCCATTGTGTTATTCTTGTCTTTCATTTGTTTTCATGCACTTTGTCTATAGAAAGTCTATATGCCATTTTTTTTTCTTTTATAAAAAGTTATTTGTTTTTATTGTGATTCAGATTATAATAAAGTGTTCACTGTTGTACTCAAATTTTTGACATTTTTATCTGTTGTGTCTGTTTGTTTTACTCACAATTATTGTCAATATATTGGAATTATATGCGACTGTCAAACAAGTGAGAGGTTTAGCTAGCTATAAAATCTGGTTTTATATCCCATTTCCTACATAATGAAATGCCTGTATAAGTCAGGAATATGACGGTTGTTTTCCATTCGTTTGATGTGTTTGAGCTTTTGATTTTGTCATTTGATCAAGGAATGTCCGTTTTGAATTTTCCTTGGTGTTCGGTATTTTTGATATATTATTTTATACACATCACTTTTTTATAATTTACATAAAACTCTCTTTATTTGCAGTTACAGAACTAAAGTTCAACACTCAAGTAAAAAGTCAATTTGCATGTCGATCAGCTGATAATCAGACTGTAGCTACCAAACCTTCAGGAAATATGATATGTGGTTCGGCTAAAAGACTGTATAAATATGAGGGAGTTTTTGCAAACACATCATTACTGACTAAAAAAGAGAGTTCTATAGAATTTTCTATTACATTTCAACAAACGTTTTTGCAGTCGCCAAACTATGTTAAATTTCCGATTTTTGAATTGGGATTTACAAATGACAGCATCAGCACACTATTTTTGCATCCTATATTATTTTCTGTAAGTGCTTTCCCTTGCCAAAAAAAGTTTAGTGTATGTCTTTTAACAGGCAGTGGAGTTTTGATTGAGAGTAAAACCATATTTAAAAGTGAAACTAATTCACGATATGCAGAAGGTCGATTTATACTGAAATATCGACCTTCTGAACATACTCTTTTCCTTCTAGCTAAATCTCCAAAAGTCAAGAGTACGATCGAGTTACATAGAGTTCAGAGCATGAACTTAAGAAGCCCGTTGTGGCCAGTTTTTGCTGCGTATGATTTTAATGAAATCGCGGTTTCAATGAATATCAAAACAAATGAGGTTGGATTTGATCGTTATACATTGCACCAAAATTTATACATTTCTCACGACAACAAAACGATGTCTAATAAAAATCTAAGTGGCACATATCAAATCACCAATTTTACAACTCCCATAATTTGGATGCGTCCTAGGCAAATTGGAATCTCAAATGATTTTCATACAATGATTGATATTGATTTTGACGATTCAAATGGGGGTCATGTATTTTTTAAGATCGGCATTCGTGGGGGAAAAGACACAATTTTTAATGCCACTTTACTTTTAGAATGTATGCTATGTGAGGTGGGTTATTTTTTGGGTTTATATCGAACAATTGGATACTGTCTGTCGGTTGCTAACGGTACCAAGTATATTGCTGTAAGTCACAATATGAAACTTTTTTTACATTACAACCAAGATGGTATTATTGAACTGTATGTACCTAATTATGTGTGGGGGTACAGCTATTGCTTAATTCAATTTGAGCCGTTTCGAAAAACGATTCCTGAATTTTATATTGAAAAGGTAGACGCAAAGGATATTGCTATATCTTCTAGCAGAACTACAAATATAGATAACCGAAAGAGAATGTGTATGATACTATTTTTGTGGATATTCTTACTGATAATACAAATTAGAACAGAGAATTATAGTCCACAGATAGTTAATGCTAACATTGAACAAATTTGAGGGATGAATGTCATTGTGCTAACAATTGTAACAATTTTTAGCGAAGAAACATGCATTTCAAGAATTCCTACAAGTAAATCCACAGGTTATTCCTACAAGTAATAAAAGATTATTCTAACCTCTATAAACACTCGAGGAATTCTTTATTACTTTCATTCAGATTAAACATGATGATTTCATTGTAATCTATAAACTATTTGATTACCTTCTATGAAAAGTATATCAATATAGCAACAACATAAAATTGATTAAGTTAACTTTCTTTAATTTAACAAAATATAATTAAGTAAAAAAAAGAAAAAAATGCCAATTTCTCATATTCATATGTCACACATATTGTTCACATTTAAGAATGCAACGAATATACATGACCTGAATAAAACAAAGTTATTGTGAACATAAATAATAAATAATACTGAATATGAAATTTATCCAAGAAACCTACCCCTACAAATCAACTGGGAGCAGAGAAAATCATTTTATTGTATCAGGAGAAAATTATCGGTTATGCATATTTGAATTTGAAATATTCGGCTTTGAGCGTTTGCGATGAAGGTGAATCCAGAAAAACGCTTCGGAATTTAAAGTGTTGTTTTTATTTTGATTTTTTACAGCACTTAGTCAATAGCACAGCAGGTGAACAATAAGTCCCTGAAGGTATCATCTGATCAGTAGTCAGTACTTCGGTACTGACATGGTCCGGGGACACGGTTATTTGATTTTCGTTGTCTACGAATAGAGTCCTTAGTGTATAACTTGCAATTTTTTTTCGTTCACCTCCCAAATGTATTTCTTTTTATTGTATGCCAAAAATAGTATGTAGGGGGATGAAATTACATGTAAAAAAAAATTATGGCATGAATTTTTAGGTAAAGTAGTGATTTGGTCCAGTTTGAAAAGGTAAAAAATTATGATGTCTGAAGCTGTCAAACTGAATTACAGATCCCCGTAACATAAAATTATCCATGTTTTGAGTTATAGCTGATAGACTTTTCTATAATTTGATATAATTTGTCCCAAAAGTACTACACTACACCTTAAAAAAATTTTTGGGAAAGAGTAGGTGCGATTTTGTTAATTAGCGTTTTCTATCTAAAAGAAATGCACTACTAAAAACTGTGTTCTCGGGCCACATGATTTATAATTAACCTTCTTAAGTTTATCAATTTAAAAGATATCAAGAAACTCATACCCCGTTCACACTATGCCTTTTTAAACCGGGTTCGACCCGAATGAGTTAATCCGGGTTAAATTTAGGTAGTGTGAGCGACTAAACCCGGGGCGAACCCGGAATAAAATTACCCCTCATTTAAGGTGGAGTTAATGTGGGGCGAACCTGGATTAATTACTTCGTCTTCTATATATGAACGCAAATTGAAGTAACTGTGAGGTTGTTGCTATGGTGACATATGACGTTTGCTTTAATATGTCTTTAATGTTACGTAATTATTGCGTGACGTCATATATCGAATGACGTCACATTTTGAGATATAACGTCACAGACGTCCAGCTACCCTATTTACTGGGTCTCAAATTATAACCATATTAGATTAGCGGCAGTAAGAGGGATATTAGTGTATTTAGCTATGTTGAAAGACCTGCATAATGACAGATGATGAAACCTATAAGATTTCCGTCGCGCTTTAATGGGTCAAAACGGGTGCAATTTGGATACAGTGACGTTATTTGAAAACACGGAAATCGGTTGATGTGGAACTCCTCAAAAGCAGTCAGGAGTGTGGTAAAAATTTCAGACTTTGAAATAATGCATCTGTGATAAAAAAAAATGTAAATAAGTACAGTGGACAGGTGCGGGTTTTACTTTTTGCGCTTACATTTCTATTTTTGTTTAGAGGGAAAATCCCAAACTGGTTTAATTTTTTACTCAGTGTGAACTGCTGTATTTAATTCGGATTAATTATCTCGGGTTCGACCCGAAGCAGATTTTATAGTTTGAACATGTCATAAGGTTTCAACTCCCTGAGGTAAAGTTGACCTGAGATGGATTTGACTATTAATTTTAGGTCATTTATAGTCATTTTATTCTTCAACTGTTCCTTTAATCATTGACTTTTAAATAGTCGGCTTTGAGCGTTCTTGATGATCATGATTATGATAAAAGTGAATCAAGAAAAGTGCTTCGGACGCATGGACATTATAATGTTAATTTAACTTTTTATTGTCAAGTGTACGTATCGTGCATTGGATGTCCAATCAACATTATTTAATTAAATGTTCAGTACATTACGGACATTTTATCTGCAATAAGTAAAGTTGTCATTCCAAATGTTCAGTTTTACGAAACTGTGCGTTAAGATATAGATAAATGATTTTTTTCATAAAAATTAGTCGATATCTTGATACATGATTTTTTGTATTCAGCACATTTCAAACTGCTCACTATGAATATTTTCATTCGTTTAAAACGTTTTCGCCTTTTTTAGAGAAATTTAATGTGTTTACTGTTTTTAAAATAAAAACGAGACAGAGATTGCTCCTCAACAAAATATATGGAAAATAGAGTATAAAAAAATGATCGCCTGAATCGATCACTTTAGACTGAATTTTGAATGAAAAAATACTAAAGGAAAGGTTTTAAATCTGTAAAAATGCAACAATACATAATAAAGCACCAGGAGAACAAACATTATCAATAATAAATATATTTTATTTATATTTGGATATTTGTTCTTATGGTTAACATTGATTTTGATTCAGGATTTTTTACCAGAGCATGGCTTAAAGTTTTCATTTAGTTTTGAATGAAAGATACATATACACTGAACATCGTGTGTTAGGGCGAGCTGATATTCGAACTGATGAAGTCATTATCAAAAAATAAAATGCCATTATTCTTTTTATCGGCAATTTGTCTTAACTGTATTTTTTTTTGGTTTGAGAATATGAAGTAAAATGAAATAATTGATAAAGCTACTTTTACACGTACCAACCGCTGTGATAGTTGTTCGGTTGTATGAAGGAAGTCGCGTGTATTTCATTAATGAATTGATGCGGATGGACTTGAACACGTAACGTTGCTGCACTGATAAATGATGTCATTGCCTAATATTTTCTATTATCAAGTCATGTCATGATCTTGAAAAATATTAGGCAGTTAGATCATAGGGGAAATGTACAAATTGCCGATAAAACATAGCACTACAGAAGCAGAATTATAAGGTTAGGGTTTTGTTAAAATACGTCTGCTCTTTGGATTCCAATTGTCTGTCAAGATTAACATTTACTGTTTTATATTTTTCACAATAGTGTTTGATGCTGTAAACATTTAAGTTTATACTGAAATGTCGGGATATACTTAACTATTTTTTTAGCATAATAGAGAAATAGAGACAGGTAGAAACTACAAAATATGATTGTATTTTGTTTTGGGTAAATTTGGATATTTCTTTTCTCTAAAGAAAATACATTTGAAAGAAAAAAAGCAATTGAAGCTATACATAGATTATTAAATAAACGCAGAAAAAATATCTTCTCTGCTGAATGTCAAATTGATTTATTTTCTTTAAAACAAAATGATAATTATATGAATAAATAATATTAACATGACAAAGTTTTGAAAATTGTAGTGTTGTTGAATGTGTACAGTTACAATTGGCCATACTGTATTGAATCTGCAGCATTCGACGCTTACCTTTATTTTATTTGGTGAGCTTTACTGAAAGTAAATATAACTGGGATGTATTTTCGGTGTAGACTTGTTAAAAATGAAGATATTATTAAGTATTGCATATATTTACTACACATGGTATAGCTATGACCTAAGCAGTTAAATTTTGTAAAGAACGTTTTAAGATCGATTAGACTTGTAAAATATTTGACTGAAACAAAATGATTAAATTCACTTTAAGCTTGTTGGCATGGGTGCAACCAATTAAGGTCAATGGTTACAAAATTGGTATTCAGAAATGTTCAATTCTCTAGAAGTATTGAGCTGTTGAATGTTCTGAAATCAATTTTCCTCATAAAGTAGTTATAATTATCTCCATATTGTATGTTTAAATTTAGATGTGGAATTCACTTATTCATGTTACTTATCATTGTGTATACATACCTGAACATTTGACGTCTTTAAACAGCGTAGTTGTAATAGAACAATGTGTACATTTATTTGGCTCTTCTAAAAACATGTCCTTCCTCATGGTTACACACTTCTACTGTGTATCATTAACTTTATTCATAAATGCACTGCGTATTATTGATATTGTTTATTGTATAATATTTTCTTAGTATAATTTTGATAATGGTCATATATGTATTTATTCATTCAAATTGCAATTAGAAACTCAAATATAAACAAAAAGTTAAGAGAATGGCAGATAGATTGATTGATTATTGTTTGCTTAACGTCCGCTGCCTGGCAAATATTTGGTAGATAGACGATGATAAGGTAAAAGTAGTGTATAAGTTTTTTTGTAAATTATATTACACTGTACTTAATTTGATGCACCAGATGCTCAATCAACAAATTATGTTACAAAAATTGATCTGCAGAAATGTGAAGAAGACCGACTGAAATCGCCACTTAAGTTCTACCTTAATATCACAAACTGTTTTACCGATATGTCTCTCAACTGGAAGGAAGTCTATAGATATTCAGATAAACCAGCGTATACGTCTGTTACTATTAAAATTTCGTTTAAGATCTGAATGAAACTCATAGAAGACAAGTCTGAATTAGAATTACTGGAACCTTTTGACTAAAATGAATTTTATTTCATACTATATGATAATATACCCGAAAGCGTCAAGAATTTGAAAAAAATAACATGGCCGTTGGCTTCAAACTGTTTACAAGCATATTACACCGCTGTTTTTAATGATAGATTAACCAAATTTACTGATTATATTTATGTTTCTTTCTAAGTCACAGTTTTCCAAACAGTTTCTACATAAATGATAACGTTTTATTTTGCCTTTATTCATTAAATATGCAACTGTATATTATGTGCATTCATTGTCTTCAGACACGCATCGGACACAGCATGGATATTCTGACTTCGACATATATAAACAAGAGGCGTGAATGGTTTGATTTTTAAAGAGTTATATCACATGTCCTGAAACATAACATCTTTGTCTGGTTCAATTCAACCGTTTCAGATTTCTTAAATTAGTCTATCAAATAGTTGTTTGACAATGACATAATCTAATCCTATACCTTCTTTCGATTTCATATTCTGAATGCTATAGATTACCTTTTTAAATAATTTGCAATGTGAACCCTTTACCAGGTGATTGTGGTTACAGTTATATTTGCAATCTGCCACACCCGCAAAAACGTGATATCATTAAACTGTGATCTAATATCGAATTTAAGACCACTTCTATCAAAAATTGGTATAAAATATGAAAATCTCCTGATATGATGATTCTATTCAGTACCAAAGCTGAATCTTAGCTTTAAGAAATACGTAGCAAATTCCAAAAGAGACCAAGAATTCTAATATGCCAATTAAGGTACTAACATATCATAATTCCAATGAAAACAGGTCGGTTCCCATATTTACCAAAATAAAACTGCTCTATACATTGCTAAACCAAAATTGCAAGGTGACAAAGTTTACAATATTTATATGTATCATGTGTATTGTCATGAATAGATTAAAAGATTTTGGTCACAAATAATATAAAAAATATTTTTATATAAATTCAAACGAATATTCCAAATGAAAGGATAACTGTTTATATATAATATACAAGATATGAACAAATATTATGCTTTATTCTATACCTTCTAAATTTTATTGATATGCTTGTGTAGTGACTTTTTGTAATCTACTTTAGTATGGTATTGGGACGACCATTTGATTTTCTTGGGAGGAGGCAGGAGGATTTTGAAAATGACAAACTAGGTCTGGTAAGATAAAAAAAAAATAGAACTTTGCACAGAACTTTTGGTGAATTGCATGAATATTCTGCATTACAAAATGCAAAAAAACAAATGTGTACAAAAATAAAAATACATTTCAGCAAAACAAATCTGAACATGTGAAGCAACAGATGGAAACGATATTCAATCCGTTAAAAGTCTCCCCAACCCAAAATGGTCGTCCCATTTTTTCTTCAGTGTTTGAGGATTTATTATCGTATTTTGTTGTATTAAATGGTGTTACTGAGTGTAAAATTAAATCTGAAATATTTGAAATGTTAACTTAATCAATTACATCCTATTCCCTTTTGTGGCATTAACTTTATGTATCTGTTTGGGTTGCTCACCAATCTTTGTCAAAATAACGGAACTATAAACAAATGTCATACAAGTGGGAGGTTGAGCTAGCTATTTGCTTATGAGTCTAGTATTTTTGTATACACTTTATATTCTCTAAAATAACCCTCTTCAGGTGTGTTTAGAAATTAGGCAAGCAACTGATAAAAGCAATTAAAGGCATCAACAAAAAACACCACAAACCCAGTCAATATCGTCAATGATGACCATTGCTTAAAAATAGTTTTGAAACTTATGGACTCCACTGCTCTTTAATATTGTTTTTGCTAATCAACTGTTTTTATAAGAGAAACGGACCTAGCTGTTAAAGCATAATATTGACTAATGAACCATAAAATTAAGGTTAATGTCACTTGCAGCCTTCAGACACAGCTAACAATCATTCCATACACAAACTATACTTGACCTATTGCTTATAGTATCTGAGAAACAAACAACCATTAAATTTAAACATTATCCAATGAACCATGAAAATGAGTTCAAGGTCAGATGAACCCTGCCAGGCAGACATGTTCACCATGCAATCATTCCACAAAGCAAATTTACTTGACCTATTGCTTATAGTATATGAGAAATAGACCAAACTCCAAAAACTTTTCAATGACCAATGAAAAAGTAAAACTGAAAGGTGCTGCTCACTAATGATACCACTGCTTTAAAAATTTGGTAAAAGGAAATTAATGAGCGATGAATTTGTAAATATATCACATGGTAAAGCATATTCACATGAAGCCTGAAATCAAATTTTAGGAAGCTCTTATTTGTAGATCCCTAGAAAAAATGGAATGCAAATTTAACATGGCCATTATATGTTACAATATACAAGTATTCAGTAAACAGGAATTTCCAGTTCCTTCTCATACTATCACATTTCCCTGTTACATAAAACTCGGGACAAACGCTATACTTTTGCAATTAGTTTTTAATTTTCAAATTCTAATGAAATAGTGTACTAAGTTTCAAGTTCCTGTGACCACAACTTCATGATAAACTACTATCGGTCAAAGCTTTAACTTGATATGGGATGGACAAATGAACACAAAGACGTGAAAACATACATGCAGGTTGGCATAGAAAGGAAAAAAAGATAACCATATAAATGACTGAACACTGTTCCAAATATACCATTTCTATTGTTCAACAGATGACATAAAATGAATTCACCACCTTTACGAAAGAGAAAACACTGTAAATCACTGAAAATGTTCAGATTTTATGATGAATATTTACACATGATTTACATAAAATGATGATGAAAATGGTACAAAATGGAAAACACACTCTGCTATTTCTATTTTTCCATGAAGAAAAACTGTATTATGACGACATACACTGTATCTACTGTGGTTTTGGAAATCGTGTAAAATAGGTTAAAATCATATAGATATCATAATAATGATTGATGCCAAGTTTGATTTACTTTGGCCCAGTAGTTAAATAAAAAGCAGATTTTTGAAAAGATTTACAAAATTAAAATTACCAATAAATTGCAGAAAATAACTGTAAAAGACAATAACTCCACAAAGATGTCAATTGCCAATTGGTAATGTTAACTTATTTGTAGATCTTTCTTTGATTGATATTTTTGCTGTTTACAGTATATCTCAATCTATAATGATATTCAAGATAATTAACAAAAAATTAAAAATTTCCTATCCTCCGCTCCAAAATTTATTTCACCCAGGGCCTGTAAAATGCTGAAAATGCCTTCAAATGTTTTTATGTAACACCCTTCATAAAAAATATTTGGGCAGGGGTTCCCCTGACCCCGACTAACCCGCCGGGTCTAGGGGGCATTCACCCAATATAAGTATGCTGAAAGAAAAGATTTAATAATGGTTTATAGAAAAAGGAACACTAAATGATTCTGAATATGGAACATATCAAGAAGAAATTATTAGCACCCCCCCCCCCCCCCCGAAAAAAAAAATGCACCCTCTGGAAAAAAAAATCAAGTCATCCCATTGTAGTCTTACAAAAGTTACTGAAGACCCCTTACCATTATTTGAATTAGTTTTCAAGTTGTGACCATATTTGAAATTGTTTTTTAACATTTTCCCCAAAGACTTCTATAGTAAATCCCTATGTTCTGTTTTTACCAATGGGGACCATGTTGGTTGTAGGGCAGGGTCATCGGATACTTTTTTCAATCAAGATACTCTTATAATAATTGTGGCTAAGTTTAATTCCATTTGGCCAAGTAGATCAAGAGGAGAAGATTTTTGTAATAAAAGATAAAACAAATTTACGAAAAATAGTGAAAAATGGATTTTAAAGGGCAACAACTCCTTAAGGGGTCAATCGACAATTTTGGTCATGTAGGCCTGATGAACATTTTAACCCCGTTAGATTTCCTCTAAATGCTTTAGTTTCAGAGATATAAGCCAAAAACTGCATTTTACCTGTGTGATCAATTTTTAGCCATGGCGGCCATCTTGATAGGTGAGCGCGGTCATCGGATACATTTTTAAAACTACATACCCTAAGAATGATTTAGACCAAGTATGGTTTAACTAGGCCCAGTAATTTCAGGAGAAGATTTTTGTAAAAGATTACAAAAATTTACAAAAAATTGTGAAAAATTTAATTTAAAGGGCAATAACTCCTGAAGGGGTCAATTGACAATTTTGTTCATGTTGACTTATTTGTAGATCTTACTTTGTTGAACATTTTTGTTGTTTACAGTTTATCTATATCTATTATAATATTCAAGATAATAACCAAAAACTGCAAAATTTCCTTAAAATTACCAATTCAAGGGCAGCAACCCAACAACGGGTTGTCTGATTTGTCTGAAAATATCAGGGCAGATAAATCTTACCCTGATGAACATTGCCATAAAAGCGGGATGTTTGGCTAGCCGCAAAACCAGGTTCAACCCACCTTTTTTTTCTTAAAATGTCCTGTACCAAGTCAGGAAAATGGCCATTGTTATATTATAGTTGGTATCTGTGTGTGTTACATTTTAATGTTGTGTTTCTAACGTGTTGTAGTTCTCCTCTTATATTTGATGTGTTTCCCTCAGTTTGAGTTTGTAACCCGGATTTGTTTTTTTTCTCAATCGATTTATGAATTTCGAACAGCGGTATACTACTGTTGCCTTTATTTACCCTATGTCAGATTTGCTCTAAATGCTTTAGTTTCAGAGACATAAGCCAAAAACTGCATTTTACCCCCATGTTCTATTTTTAGCCAATGCGGCCATCTTGATTGGTGAGCAGGGTCATCGGAAACATTTTTTAAACTAAATAACATAAGGATGTTTAGGCAAGGTTTGGTTTAACTTGGCCCAGTAATTTCGGAGGAGAAGATTTTTGTAAAAGATTACAAACATTTACAAAAAATTTAGAAAATTTGACTTTAAAGGGCAATAACTCCTTAAGGGGTCAATTGACTCGGTTACTTTTAATAAGAGTTAGAAATAGTGGTAAAGGAGTTAAGGGGTCATATATTTATTCTTACGAGGAAGCTCCGAGCATGCTCCAAGCATTCTCTGAGCTTTTAAAGTAGGCTCTTCTCGGCAGTTTATGTGACAATGATTATCAGAATCCATTAAGATGTCAATCAAATCTATAGCACTTCTATAAAAGAGGAAGTAAAGCATTATAGAGGAAGCTCAATTAACACCTGTGTAAACATCTGGTCTATTCAAATACAACTTGCATGATTTTACAAAACTATAAAATAGATAAGAAATTCTTCAACAGTACTGTGTGATGCTTGGAGAGAAATGTCAAGTCTCCACAAAAAGTAAAAGTCATTAAAATATTTTCTTATTATATTTAAATAATCATTCTTTTTTAAAAATAAAAAATTCTCAAATTTTATAATTAGATAATATAATTTAAATGTAGTTTATACTATATAATATGCTACACAAAAATCATCAAGACATAAACAACAGTCAGGGTCGTTACTAAACAAGTTATTTTTTTTAGTTACTTATATAGGTATCGTTTGTTTTTAAAAATTATTTAATAACTCAATAGTTATTTTAAATGTCAATAGAAGTATGGACTAAATGTAGTTTTTATGAATTTTTACATCATTTTATTAAATAGAATTTATCAAATTTGAGATTAGTATAGAGATAAAAGGTTACTTTAAAAATAATGACAAAAATATTACTTTTATAAGTTATTTTATACATCTTTGAAAAAAATAGAACCAAAGAGGTTATATGAGAATGAGAGAGGACGAAATATGCTAATAACATATAATATGATACCGTCTTTTCTGTAAGTGGGTGTTAATTAGTTGAGATCGATTCGGTCGCAGAGGGAGACTTTCCTAAGTACACATCTGAGTAAGAACGGAAACACCCGAAGTGTATTAAACCGACCGAAATTTTATAAAATAAGCCTGAGATCATGGCTCAATTCTCGACAATTCATCGTTTGATCATGGTCGCCGATTTATTTATAAGCGATGCCTAAGTGTTGGAGCTCGAAAAAGAAATTGATTATTTAGAAAAATTCTGCATCTGGAAGACAAACGACTCAATCGACCTGAATTGCTTCGTAAATGATGTATATATATGAAATTAAAATCTACAACATAAAAAATTTATAAAAATGTGCAGGAAAAATGTCCGTAAATAAATGAATAGACACGATTTCCTGTCGTGGTAT